TAGTTAAAATATTTATTTTCTTAATGGTTAACTGATGACGTATCAGAATTGCATTGATGTAATACTATTGATTCTTATATCGGTTCTTCTATAAACTTCTAGAATCGAATCAATATAGGATTACTGAATTGAGGGGGGTGGACTGGGGACGGCAAGCTAAAGAAGAAGAATGGAAGGAGAGGGGTGGGGAGCTGGGTTGAAGAAGAAAAAGAAGAAAGATTGAAGAGGAAGGTGTGGTTTGGCTGAAGAAGAGTAGAGTTGGGGGAGGGGGGGAGTAGGCTTGGCCCGAGGCCGGTCTGACTGGCCCGGGACCCGGCCTGGCCCGCCACTGTGCGGGTCCGACCCGGCCCGTTGGATCGGTACCGGTACCGGGCCTAGGCCCGACCCGGGGGGATTAATTGGGGCGGTTCCGGAACTGCATATTTGAGGACCAGCCCAGCCGGTTCGAGCCCGGTCCGGGCCTTATTTTTTTTTTTTTTTTTTGGGGGGGGGGGGTTGGGCCTATGGTAGGTAGGCTGGGTGTTTTGGAGGGGTTTGGGGGGTGAGGGTTGGAATATATAAGAAAACCGAAAAAATGAACCCGGAACTGGCCCGGAACTGGCCCGGCCCGATACCGGTAGACTCCCAGGCTGGTCCAGGGCCTTACCCAAAAAATTCCAAGCCCGGCCGGGCCCGACTCGGAACAGAAACCGGGTCTGGCCCGGTCCATCCCTAGGAGGGAGGGGAGGAATGGGGTGGGACGGGATGAAGAACCGATATAAGAAAAGTCCACGGAAATCTTTGGTGAGGAGAAGAGACAATTGTAGAGAATTTTTGCACTAAAAATGAGTTAAAAGTCCACGAGAATCCATGATTTTAGAAGTCAATAAGAATGAACGGAAATTTGAATACGCCTAGACTTTTATAGACTTTTAAAAGTCCGAAATGAATACACCTAGACTTTTGTGGGCTTTTAAAAGTCCACATTGAATACACCTAAACTTTTAAAATCCATGGACTTTTAAAATTTTGCCACTAAATCCTAATACAGTACACCCCCTAAATAGTTATTCTTTAGATTTTTATTAGAATGTAGTGGAGATAATGAGACAAATTTCATCTCTATCTATTAATCGATTTACCACGGTTCACTCGCTTATTTAAGTAATTAAATATTCCATCATCAAAGAATATCATTGTGATTTATGATGTTTAACCGATGATAAAACAAACATATTTTTGTCCGTATTCAAATTATTTTTAGAAAAAAAGTTGCATGTTCAGAAACTACATTAATAGCTTATAAAGTCGCAAAAATTGGAAACAAATTTGATAAAAATTTGGTATATAAAGTAAGAGTCTAAGAGATCGTTTGGTAGCATGAAAATCGACTATTTTGGCTAATTCTGCTGAAATTTATGAAGTTCTTGTTGAAGTGGTTGCATTGGCTGGTTATGCTGATTTAAGAAAAAATTATTTTTAAAATATATTTAATTAATAAAATAAAATAAAAATTATATGTAAAAATAGCTAAAATGATCATCTACAGTAACTTCAGTCAATACAGCCAGAAAAATAACTTTAACCTTACTTTTCTGCTTATTACACAATTTAGCGCACGAAAACAAAAGTTACATGTTTGGTGAAAAAGTTGACAGATAAGACGAAAAACAGTATTGCCAAACGGCCTCAGATTGATTTGTATTGACTAACTAAATAAAAAGTCGTAACATCAATTGGTAGCCTTAAAGGTATATGTGGCGGTTGCTATCCTAAAATATAATCTACAAAATTTTGATTTGCAAAAAAGTTGGGTGGGGATTGCATCCTCCCCAGCGGCATGTCCGCATGCTGATAGTTTCCAGGCACGAAAGAGAAGTGCTGTATTTACGGAGTTACCATTTGCCTTACTCTTTTAATGACTCCATAAAATAATTACTAAATAATTATTTATCACTTACCATTCTAATTACTTTTTCCATCTTCGTTCAAACAACTCCCTTTCACGTGCAAGTCCCTCACCGTTTGGCCAATCCTATTAAAGGCTGGTTTGCAACACATTCTGAAAATCACTTTTCGGCTTTTTTGGAAGCAAAAGCCAAAATAAGTGTTTGCATCTCACTGCTTTTCCGTTCGCAGAAGCCAGAAGGCAGAAGCCAGAAAGCAGAATTTAACTTGGTAATTTGGTAATTCTTGAGAAGTTGGGGGCATTTATATTGTTAATATTTGTTGTATCCCATTAATGCCCTTATCTTTATTCTTCTTTCCTTGAAACATCGTTCGCATACGGAGGTATCACACACCTCTCTTCCTGCTCGACAAATGAAGCTCCCCACCCCTAACGAATTCTGGTTTGGAAAACCCATAGACCCTAATTATTAACGCAGAACAATTGAAGCAAGATGCGAAGATGGTTTAATGGAAAATGGAAAACATTGAAGCAAGATGTTACGAAAATGGTTTAATCGGAAAAATCCAAGCTAGATACGGCAAAAACAAGGTGCAAAGATAACTGGCCGATGTTTAATCGAGACGAAAATCATTGAAGCAAGATGCAATTTTTTCCCAACCCTAGCCAACCTCGTCTTGGAGTAGACATTATCGCTGGGGAGATAGCTGCGTGCGGCCAAGGATGAAAGGAAAGAACGAAGGTTTTCGCTAGGAAGTTACAAAGGTTTAAAGAGAGAGGGGGCATTTTAGTACATTCATAAAAACATACATCAAAAATCACTTTTTTATCAAACACTCCAATTTCAACACTTTTTATATAATCACTTTTTTCCCAAACACTAACAGCTTTTACAATTAATCACTTCTCCTCATTTCATTTAAAAAAGCACTTTTTTTAAAGCAGAAGCTGTTGCAAACACTCCCTAATTGGGTAACCATACTAGTATCCGCCCGTGCCCTACATAGAGTGAAACTTTCGAGTAAAAGTGAACGAATAAAATGAAAATAATACTCCTCTGGTTCGTTCCTAGTTTGACTTCACACATATTAAGAAATAAATTTGACTTTACTGTGGAGTGCACTGTATGAACACTGTTTAGCACTGTTTGAACACTGTTTGGCACTGTTTGACACTGTTTTAGTGTAAATCATTTGCCAAATAAGGAAAGGTTTGAAGTAGGAACTTTAATATGGATCATCCCAAAAAGGAAAGTAGAAACATAATTACGGGACGAAGAGAATATTTGTTTTTTAGTAGAACATGAACAATGAATTTCCCGATAGACTAATTATCCTTTTTTAATTATACAACAAAATAGACATTTTTTATATAATCAATTTGTAGCTTTTATCAATTATATTCGTTTATTGATCTAAATTTCAATCGTATCAATTTTACTCACGTGTTGGTCAAATTTTATTTAATAAACAAGAGTTCGTTCAATAACACTAAAATTGATTAAATCATATGAATGCGCTAAAATAGGTGAAATTATGGCTGGAGTAACTGAATTGATTTAATCTGTTCATTTTTTTAGAAAAATATGATTTAAATACAATTTTTTTTAAAAAAATAAAAGAACATTATATGTACCGTAGCTTCAATCTGTTCATTATATGTTTCGATACGAATTAGAATGTTTTTACTTAGACTGAAATATTCTAGTCTGGTCTGATTTGGTCCCAAAATATAATTACTTTTTCAATCTTCAATTCGTTCAGGCAACTCCTTTCACAGTTTCACGTGCGGGTCTCCCACCGTTTGGCCAATCCTAATAATTGCGTAACTATATATCGCTTAAACCTCTATTAATTATGCATAAGATTATATATATACTCCTATATATGCTTAAATTATAATACTCCGTATGATTTATATATATATACATAATAAAAAGCAAGAGGTTTACGCAAGAAAGTGCCTATGATGAATACCAGTGAAGACGAAGCGACGAGAGAGCGGCCGGAGAAATCGGCGCCTGGCGGCGGCGGTGGAACGAAACATGAAAATCAGAAGGTGGCGTTCTATAAGCTATTCTCATTCGCTGACCGCCTGGATATCGCATTGATGATCGCCGGAACGGTGGGCGCCGTCGCGTACGGTGTCACTCAGCCGCTGATGACGGTGATCTTCGGTCAACTGATCAATTCTTTCGGTACTGTGGCCTCTCCTCACGTCGTTCGTGTGATCTCTAAGGTATATATGTACACACATTAATGGCGTCTTGTTTGATTTTCGCTCGTAATTAGCCCTAGAAATTGATTTTGTATATGAGACGCCGCTGCCGATAAATGAATACATGTATATATTTGCGAGTTAGTTAAGATTTAAGAAGATTAATTAATTATTGAGTTAATGAACTTAGAGTGTGATTTATGATTTGGATTGAATTATGAGCTCAAGAAGTTATGTACAACGTACTGATTTTGGGGTTGCATGCATAAAGCAGGACTGGGGAAGATCCATTGAAAAGTCAACTTTTTAAAAAAATTCATCAAATTACTTTGACTCGTCACTGTCAAAATCTGAATGTAAAATCCAGAGCAGATATGATCTTTTATGTAGTTTATGGCAGTTAACATGCATCACACATATGTGTTTATCGATGTCTGTCCTCCCTCTGGAACACTGTGTATGTGTGTAAAACATGCAGACATCGATTCACACATATGTGTTTATCGATGTCTGTCCTCCCTCTGGAACACTGTTTTCTATTAGGTTCAAATATTTGCATTATTCACATAATTTCAGTTATTTTCATATAGAAAAATTAGTATCTGAAATTTAAGAAGATTTGTCTCGGTGGCTATTTTCAAATTAATAATATATATTTCGATTTTTTAAACTAATTGTTAGTTGAATACGTTAATTTTAACAAACATACATTGTGAAATATGAAAGTCAATTTTTCCCAAAATTAACAAAGTATACACACACACCAAAGGCTCTTGTGCGAAGTTTTTGAAAATTAAAACTGGGACTATGGTATCGGGTACGTCTTTCTAAGATTTAGAACTTACAAGTTACTCCGTATTAGATTTAATAGGGAGAGGCGTTAGAGCCTTAGAGGAGGAGATTAGTTAAGTTTGGAGGTCTTTTCATAATATTGATATCCGTCAAATTGACTGAATATATTAAATTATAAATATATTTTAATAGTATGATGAAGTAAAATTATACTCCGTATGAAAAATAGGGAGTAATTATAAATATACAATCTTTTCACCAAATTACTTTTAAGTGCATACATTCAAAAGATACATGCGTAGTACGGAGTACTTTTTATTTAATAAATAAAAACTCATAAATTGGGAATAAAAAATCAAGAGACTGGAAAACTAGTGAGGCAGAACTGAAACAAGTCAACAATTCGTGTTCTCTTTTTCCCGAACAAATCATCAGGTAAAAATGGAGATAAGTGAAAAGATGAAAGTCAATTTTACTCAAGTCGATTGCAGTTACTGTAGTATAAGAACATCCCACCCAAAAACCAGAACTTGCAGGGCTACTCGAATGTTTTTCAAAATACAAAGATGAAGTTTGTATGCTTGCTTTTCGGCCTAATCAGCTTTGCTGCAGGGTAATTTTTTCGAATCTTTAATTTTCACTCTGGTTGTAAGAGTAAAATGAATCTTTAATTTTCACTATAAGAAACTACTTGGTTCTAAAAATTAAGGTTTACCACGTACTTCTACGAGATATCTGTAAAATAAACACAACAATAAATTTTTGTCACTGGTTTTATCATGCTCCGTATGTATTTGGTGTGTTCTATTGTAGTGAACATGCTTGATAATATGTTTGAATGAGGAATAGAGAGAGAATACGAAAGAAGATTATAAACGTTTCGATAATTTTTTTGTAATTTATTACGGAGTAACTTTTAGTCAAAACTTGTAATGCTATATTCGGTTAAGTATGTAATCTATCTTATTGTAGAAGTGACTCTTGTCCCTATATTTTATGGCGAATTTTCTGATCATACTCTGACGTTAAACAGTATGGCATTTTTTTTTTGTTAAAATAGGCCTATGATGGAAACTTGTCCGTATGCTGCAAAAAAAACAGGAACGGCCTTTTGTGTGTGTGTGTGTGTGTCATGTGTGTGTATAATTTTCTATGAGTAATAATATTTATTACTCATAAAACTGGCTCTGTCTTTTTAATAAGAGTAATTTTTGTTTGTTTTTGGCGGTTGGTTAAGGTTTGATGTGTTTAATTTTCAGCTATCCCTCAAGTTTGTGTACCTTGCTATTGGCTCCGGCATTGCTTCATTTTTACGTAAGTGCAACATCTTCCATCTTCTTAACATGTCACACTTGCATTTACCAGTACTTTGATTTCATAAATGTATTGAGATTATTAAGTTATGGAGAAAATGTTTAATCTTGATTAATCTCAAACTAGGAAGTAGGAACTGAATTGTAATTGGTGACCTTATTTTTTCCTGCCTAGCATTACATGATTTGACATAGATCCTTCCTACACATGATTTACGTTTGTCATGATTTGAAATCATCAGAAATGTCTTGTTGGGTGGTAACTGGAGAAAGGCAAGCTGCTAGAATCAGAGGGCTTTATCTGAGAGCAATTCTAAGACAAGACATTGCCTTCTTTGACACCGAAACTACCGCCGGAGAAGTTATTGGCCGGATGTCTGGTGATACAATTCTCATTCAAGAAGCCATGAGTGATAAGGTGATTAGCTTTCATATGTATACCGTATACATAATGGATGCAGGGAAAAACTCCCCCCCCCCCCCCCCCCACAACTGTATTATGCCAAAACTGTAAGAGATCAGATAGGATCCCCTTATGGAATCCTATGACTTGGACCACTGCATGATGAAGTCACACATAAGTCATCAGACTCCATAAGATAACCTTTGCTCCTTAATAGCAACCCCCTTGTTTGTCCTAATTAATTACTGATTATCAATTTCCAGGTTGGAAAGTTCATCCAATTTATATCAACATTCATTGGAGGATTCATCATTGCTTTCACAAAAGGATGGCTTCTTGCATTAGTTTTGTGCTGTTGCATTCCTGTTGTTGTGCTTGCTGCAGGAGTAATGGCATGGATCATGACTACAATGTCAAGTCGAGGACAGTCCGCTTATGCCAAAGCAGGGAATGTGGTGGAACAGACTGTTGGAGGAATTAGAACGGTATTACATATAAAGTCTCATATATAGCGTAGCGCTTTTTTTCCTTTTTTTGGGCAGGAGTGTAATTACTGTTAAATAATTTATCCACAGGTTGCCTCTTTCAATGGGGAAAAGCGGTCAATCAACAAGTATGACCGGGAACTGGATGTTGCTTACAGATGCACAGCAAAACAAGGGCTGGTTTCTGGTTTGGGACTTGGCGTTATATTGTTTGTTATCTTTAGCAGTTATGCATTAGCTGTTTGGTATGGAGCTAAAATGATAATGCACCATGGCTACAAAGGAGGAGACGTCATCAATGTCATGATATCCATCATGATGGGAGGAATGTACGTAAAAGAATCTTTACCACCTCTATGTCGTGGTTGGGGCGGTCAGCCCTTGAAATCTATACCGCATGTCTTAGAACGACAAGCACACATTCCAGGCTGACCTAGAAAGGCTGAGATTCCCATGACCCCCATCTAAATATTTCAGTGTGTATGAGTGCGCACGCACATATTATATAACCTGCAAAAATATCTTTTCCCCCTGGTAAAATAATGTTTTCAATACTTGGTCAGTAATATATGTCTTCAGGTTCCACACGTCCTGCACATGCTGCTTGTTAATTAGGTCCTATTGGGAATTTGAGATCAGTGTCACAATTTTGTAGATGTTTTATCATTTTTGGTTTGAAATTTCAGGGCACTAGGACAAACATCTCCTTCGCTGAATGCATTTGCATCAGGGCAAGCCGCAGCATACAAAATGTTTGAAACGATAAGACGCAAACCGTCAATTGATGCATCCGACACGAGTGGTGTCACTCTGGAAGACGTGAGGGGTGAGATTGAGTTAAGAGATGTGTACTTTAGGTACCCGGCAAGACCAGATGTGCAAATTTTTTCTGGTTTTTCACTACTCATCCCAAGTGGCAAAACTGCAGCTTTGGTTGGGCAAAGTGGGAGTGGTAAGTCAACTGTTATCAGTTTGCTGGAAAGGTTTTATGATCCCCATGCTGGAGAAGTGCTACTAGACAACGTTAATTTAAAGAGATTCAAGCTCAAATGGTTAAGAGAACAAATGGGATTAGTGAGCCAAGAGCCAATCTTGTTTACAACAACTCTAAAAGAGAACATAGCATATGGTAAAGAAAATGCTACTGAGGCAGAGATTAGAACAGCCATAGAGCTAGCAAATGCTGCCAAATTTATTGATAAACTTCCTAAGGTGAACTTCTTTGTTTGTCTCATTTGAGCTTTAGTATTATCAATTTATGTAAGAATCTTATATTTCTTGGCTTAGGTGTCACCATTAGTGTTTCTACATAATTGATGGGACGAGCATTTAGAAAAGTTCAAGTATGGGTCCCATCAATTATGTTAAAATAAAAAAAGGGTGTGCAACTGTGCATATTTTTTTTTTTTGTAAAAATCATTTGGATTAAGGCATTAATTAATAATGATTGGATATATGTTGTTCTGGCAGGGGCTTGAGACCATGGCTGGTGAACACGGGACTCAGTTATCTGGTGGACAAAAGCAAAGAATTGCAATTGCTAGGGCAATTCTAAAAAACCCTAAAATTCTCCTCCTTGATGAAGCTACAAGTGCTTTGGATGCTGAATCGGAACGAATTGTGCAAGAAGCACTCGACAGAGTCAAGTCGAACAGGACGACCGTGGTTGTTGCCCATCGTCTTACGACTATTCGGAATGCTGATCTGATTGCAGTTGTCCAATCTGGCAAACTTGTGGAGCAAGGTGTGCAACTAATATAACTCGTACTCCACTCAACTAAAAATGGCATTACAAACAAATGAACAATGCCTAAGGCCTAGTGCCTAAATGGGACCTGGGTTGGATCAGGCTGAGCATAGGTGGGGCCAATTTAGAGGGAAGACTAAGGTGGGGGGCAGATTGGGCTAAGGTCGGTAAAACATAGGGGCCTACCGCCTAAGCAGTGACTGAGTATGGGTGAGGTCATCTCAGAGGGAAAATGTCAAGGGGTTAGTGCCTCAGTGGGGTTAAACTACACATGAGTCGGGGAGTGGGGTCTAGTAACTAGGCGGGAGTTAAAAAAACATCTACTTTAATTGTTTGGAAATAACCATCTGATCTGGTATCATAATATTTCTTTAAATCGAAAATTAGGAACTCATGACGAGTTGATTGGAGATCCAAACGGGGCGTATTCACAGCTTGTGAGAATGCAGCAAGGGAGTAATCATGGTGGGAAGTTAATGGAAGCGGATGACGCTGCTGAAGCAGCAGATATCACTACAATGGATTCAGATGATATTGTCCTGTCATCAAGCAAGAGATTATCTGAAGTGAGAAGATCATTGAGCCATGAAGGATCATCAAGGCACTCATTCTCATTCAACTTCCCGGTTCCTGGCCTAATCAACATTCAAGAATCCGAAGTCGGCAATGATAATCCGGACAAGATGACACTGGAGAGAAGAAAAAGAGTTCCCATTACCCGTCTCGTCTCCCTGAACAAACTAGAATGGCCATATTTGGTGGTTGGGACAATAGCTGCAGGAATTCATGGTGTGATTTTTCCTGTTTTTGGGCTTCTGATCTCTACGGCTATCAAGATTTTTTTTGAACCTAAACCGATGCTGAAACATGATTCCCGGTTTTGGGCGAGCATGTATGTATGCCTCGGCCTGGTTAGCTTGGTTGTTGCACCAATCCAGAATTTCTCCTTTGGAGTTGCAGGCGGGAAGTTGATTAGAAGGATTCGATCACTGACATTCAACAAAGTAGTCTACCATGAAATTGGCTGGTTTGATGAACCTGCAAATTCAAGGTGCGTCACTAATACTCAATGAAACCTATGAACGAAAAATATTTCCCCTCTTGATTTACTACTATTACTAGTTCTTGACTGCTTTTGGTTCTAGACTTTTTTTCCACTTCTGATGGATTTTTACAACTTTTGGTCTCTGGGTCACATAACCAGCCACTCTTGTTCACATATGGTTGATTTATGCTTTTCCATCATTTGCAATGGAGCCAAAGATTCCTTATTTTTTGGCTTGAAAATATGATGGAATAAAGCAAAATGGCTCACTAAACTGTCTGCGCTTCTTTGTTATGAAGCAGCAGTCAGTCCATGCAATTTTGAACACTAATTTCACTATGGGTCATCCGGAAACAGTCTCACTGTGCTTTAATACAGGGGTAAGACTGCGTACATCCGACCCCCCCTTACCCCACCGCAGGTGGGAGCCTTTGCGGCACTGGGGTAAATGAAAATGAAAAATGAAAATGATATGGTTGATTTATGCAAGATAGTAATAAAAAAGACTAAAAGTGGCAAAAAAATCATAAGCATGCACATAAACTGCGGGGAGAAAAAGTGGAAAAACCTGATAGACGAGGGACAAAATATATATTTTTTCCCATATGAAATCAATGTGTTTCACTTTCATGATTAAAAAGAATCTCTCTTTTATCTGTATGCAGTGGAGCGGTTGGGGCGAGATTATCAACTGATGCTTCGACTATAAGAAGCCTCGTGGGGGACGCATTGGCATTAATTGTGCAAAACATGGCTACTATCTTGGCAGGAATTATTATAGCCTTTGTCGCTAATTGGATGTTGGCAATTATCATCCTTGCTTTGTTACCCTTGATGGGGGTACAAGGATATTTCCAGAATAAGTATAACAAGGGATTCAGTGCAGTTGCTAAGGTTTCTTCACAAAAATAAAACACTGTCTGGACATATGGTTTTGAACTGGTGCATGTTTACATAATTTGATTTGTTATTCATTAAACTGTAGTGTGCACTTTGCAGGTGAAGTATGAAGAAGCAAGTCAGGTTGCAAATGATGCAGTTGGCAGTATAAGAACGGTGGCTTCATTCTGTGCAGAAGAAAAGGTGATGTCTACGTATAAGAAGAAATGTGAAGGCCCCGTGAAGCATGGTGTAAAAGTTGGACTTGTTAGCGGTGGATGGATGGGTTTTGGTTCATTCATACTCTACTTTACGTATGCCGGCTGTTTCTACATAGGAGCTATTCTCATTAAACACAAGCTGGCAACATTTGCAGAACTCTTCAGGGTATGAAAACCGGGTTATGTTACATTTGCGCATCTAGTTTTCTTACGAAAAAAAATACATAACTTTGCATGTTACAGACGACTCACCTTGTAAATTATCACTTTGCCCGCACGTTAATTCATACTTAACCTTGCATCAAGGGTAAGGTATTAATTTTTTATGGTGCATGTCACAGCTAAGGTTTGAGAGAAAAGGAAATAAAAGTTTAGGATTTTTTTTGTATTTGTCTCACCTCAGAAAAAACAGCAACAACAACAATATCACCTACAGTGGGGTAGGGGGGTCGGATGTACGCAGCCTTACCCCTGTACTAAAGCACAGAGAGATCGCTTCTGGATGATCCATGATGAAATCGTGTTGAAAATTGCATGGACTGACTGTTGTTTCATAACAAAGAAGCGCAAACAGTTTAGTGAGCCATTTTGCTTTATTCCATCATATTCCCAAGCCAAAAATAGTGAGTCTTTGGCTTCACCTCAGACAAAATTAATGAAATGCAATATGATTACTACTTATGTGTTATGAATGTTTAGATCTCCATGTATTATATGAATTCGAACAAATATAAAAAAATGCGAGTTGAACAAATGCTCATATTTTCCCTTATTTTCTTTCATTCCATCCTCTATTTTCTTTTACTAGCATATTCCCTGTTCCAAATGCACCCTTCCTTAAGGTACACTTATAGCTAAATGAGTTTTTTCCTTTGTGCAGGTTTTCTTTGCATTGACAATGGCAGCTATGGGAGTTTCCCAGGCCACTGGCTTAGCACCAGATCTTAACAAGGCCAAGGATTCTGCAGCTTCTATATTCGACATTCTTGATAGAAGGCCCAAGATTGACTCAAGCAGTGACCAAGGCGAAACTTTACCAGTTGTACGTGGAGATATTGAGCTGCGACATGTGAGCTTCAAGTACCCTACCCGACCCAATATCCAAATCTTCAAGGACTTATGCCTAACAATGCCTGCTGGAAAGGTACACATCTGTTTTGGTTTTTTAATTTTTTAAAATCTTATTCTACACATTATCCATATTCATTCTTGATTTAACTACATTTTATTATAGACTTGTGCTCTTGTGGGGGAAAGTGGAAGTGGAAAATCAACTGTGATTAGCTTAATAGAGAGGTTCTATGATCCTGACAGTGGGGATATCCTCTTGGATGGGGTTTCTGTTAAGAATCTTAAGCTAAGTTGGTTAAGGCAACAAATGGGGTTGGTTAGTCAAGAACCAATTTTGTTCAATGAGTCGATCCGTGACAATATATCATACGGCAAACACGGGGAGGCAAGTGAGGAAGAGATTATCGAGGCAGCAAAATCAGCAAACGCTCACAACTTCATTTCCTCGCTGCCCCAAGGCTACGACACGCCCGTGGGAGAACGTGGGGCCCAACTATCAGGTGGTCAAAAGCAAAGGATTGCCATTGCGAGAGCAATTTTGAAGGACCCAAAGATCCTTCTGTTGGACGAGGCCACAAGCGCACTTGACACTGAATCAGAACATGTAGTGCAAGAGGCTTTGGACTGCGTTATGGTTAGCCGGACCACGGTTGTGGTTGCTCATAGATTAGTGACAATTAGAGGAGCCGACATGATTGCCGTTGTCAAGAATGGGATCGTTGCAGAGAAGGGAAGTCATGACGTCCTTATGAATATTGTAGATGGGGTGTATGCGTCCTTAGTTGCGCTTCACATGAAAGCAACTTGATACATATTGTCTTTTTCTTCATCAAATTTGTTTCTTTTCTTTTTTTACATGATCAAGAGGCAGTATGTATCACATTGCAGCTAAGTGCAATGAAGGAGGCATAAACTAGTTTTAGAATTTTAGGAGATTTTCTTCTGTAGTCTATAGGTTATTGAAATCTGACCATTACAGCAAATTTGATCAAGATATGTCCATTTTTTCATGAATTATCTCAAGTCCCATCATTTTCATTTTCTACTTATCTTCATTCATTCCTTTATTATCTGAATGGTTAGTAGTGGTACGTTAATGTGGCTTTTAATAAAAACTGGCTTTTGTATGGCTTCTCTATGCGATCGGGGCAAGTCATATTAATTAATGATATCATTTTTATGCTGCTAATTAATTCGTTCAAAGAGATTCATAATCGCAATGACTAGCTGGTAAGTAAATGTAATGAGAAAATCAATCCGTAACTCATACTATCTATATATTAGATTTTGTCTCGTTTGGTTGAAAAGGCCTATATAAAGAACATTACTGAGCAATGTTTTCCGTTACCGGTTGGGTTTTGAAGGTTAAATTCTAATTAATTAATGCAAAATACACTAAAAATATAAGAATTATTTGGTTGAGTTCTTTTACTATTAACTTTACTATAATTTCAGAGTTAGTTATTTTCTTTGTAACTTTAAATACATAAATTGATAATTCTGTATTTAAATTGTCCTTTTCCCATGAAAATAAAATACGGAGTATTTGTTTGTTTAAGATCCTTGAAGGCTTGAAATCTTTCAAAATTATACTACTCCGTATTACTTTCAATTCTTTTGTGCCTCTTTGTGGATCTCTGTCTTAAAAATTGATGTGATAACAATAAATTCAATCGTTTTTTTTTTCACTTCATTTCACTTATAAAGATACTTGATAGATTATTTTTTAGAAAAAGAGAAATAAAAAGACTCGAATGAGTTATTGAAAAATTAAAGTCAAAATGTTGAAGAAGAGTTAACAGTTGACTAGAAAGTTATTCATGAAGGTTCCTCAGTACTTTTTAATATAAACATCTCGCAGAATTTAATACCAAGTAATATTACTCCATATTAATATAAAATTATTGAAAAATGTGATCAAAATTATCAATTAATAATACAACATTATGATTAATATAAATATAATCAGAGATTCGAAGTTTCAGTAACACTTTTTTACATAAAGATAACTTACATTAATTTTAGGGGAAAAAATGTTTGTACATGCGGGTTATACCGTCCTTGTTTATGTCGTTGATGAACATGCTATTTTATTGCTTATGAATAACATTTTTACGAACAAATATATTTGTGTGTGAACAAGCTATTCACACGTAACATTTTTACGAACAAAATATTTTGCAATTAACGGATAACAAATTTTTAATAACATAGTACCGGTATTTATATGTTCCCTACATTTGCTTTTGGCACAATATTTTAGAATAGAATAGTAAATGTAGTGAATAATGTAGAAAAAGTAGGAGAGAGTGTGTAAAAGTTATGAAAGAGAATATAAAAAGTAGATAAAGTAAGAGTAGTTGAGTATTTTATAAAAGACAAACTTACCAAAAATTGAAGTGTAAGGAATTTTTAAATAGATCCCAAAAAGGAAAGTGTAGGGAACTTTTAAATACGTTGGGAATATTTAGTCAGCGGTATTTCCTATCAGAATAATTTGGCGGGTTACTAAAAAATGTTTTAAAAATATCATACGATAGTATTTCAAAATGTTAAAACAAATGTCATTTTTGTTTTGAAAGAGTCATTTCCAAAACACCATACAAAATCTACTAATATCTAAAAGGAAAAGATTTTTTGCTACAGGTTTGCCGCTCAAATCTGTCAGCATCAACTGGATTGACACTAAGTTCCCAAAAAAAGTGCAAAAATGAATATTCAGAAGTTATTTAGGCGTGTTGGAGAAGATTTTATCCATTGAAAGTAATCATGACATACGGAGTATTTGGTGAAAATAGCACAATAAAACAAAAAATGGATGAAGACCCATCATGTCGCCAGCCTGTAATGGAATTGACTATTCAAAAGTTCAATAGTACTCCATATCGTCGAGGATTCAGAAAACGAAAAAAGAAAATCAGCAAAAGACATCCCACTTGCTGTTCCTTGGGTCGGTGCATGCAAGTTGGCAAGTTGGTTCACTTCGCTATAAATAATTCGCAAAATCGTGCCAAACTGAATACCATCGAAAATTGCATTCTGTCTCTTCTCTTTCTCTTTTCCCTCTCAGGTTCTATAGTTCGAAGTTGAACGCCTGCAATTCACAATAATGTCATGGAAATACGTTTATGCATGTTTGTTATGAATATATTATACGAAGTATTCGTGTGTGTTGATGAATTCAAAATAAAGTACTCATCAATTTATTTTATTGCTCAATAAAATGTATATTGCGGAGTATTTATTATGATTAATTATATCTAGCGTTAGTTGTATATCTAAATCTAAATATTATCAAAGCATATTTTAAGAGAGTTTTATTTTCAATGATAGAAGTTATTCAGTTTGTTGAGTGTTAATCAGTGGGTCAAATTACAAATACACATACTACACAAAAAATGCTTAAAAGCTAAAAGTATCCACATGATTATGATGTTATTCATAATTAAGACTTTACTGGACGAAAAGTTAATGAACAATCTCAGATTTTAGGGATTCTGGGAATGCATCAATTTAAGATATATATTGAGTTATTTTGGCTTCTAGAGGGGAATGAGACCGAGTGCCAAGGGGAATGAGACCGAGTGCCATAAAAAATTGAGTTATTTTGATACTCTGCATATATATGTAGAAATTATATATACAGATGTTTATGTAGGTAGTATACTGATGTGGTCTATTTAATATGGTAGAAGTTGATGTTTATTTTTTTCAAATTGTAAGATCAGCACTTACGTATAGGGATGTAAAAATTGAAAACCAAATTTAAAACATATGTACTGTAACACCCCGGCCCCGTGAGACCCGAGGTAGTTACTCAGGACCAATAGTACTGTCCTCACAAACCACCACTAGCCTTTTACGCGCATTTTGTCCTCACTTGTGCGCGCCCTGAGAAACTTCTCAGGGGGTCACCCATCTCAAGACTACTCCCGTGCAAGCACGCTTAACTTTGGAGTTCTTGGCTAATGAGCTCCCTTAAAAGGAGATGCACCTTGTTGGTATGAGTAGTATTATTAATCTGTTTATATTAAATCTCAAGTGTTACATGTACTGTGTTGTAACAAAGAGCATGACAACACAACGCATATGGAAGTGTGAATGGAGGTTTCACACTTGGTCTGTAGTAACAAATATTGGAAAATATGGGAAGGTTTCTTTTATGTTGTTTGGGTACATATTTAGGCCAAATTACCAGATTGGTAAAAAAAAAGGGTCATTGGACGGATAGGTAAAAAAAACCACTTGAGTCAAATTGGTATAAAAAAAAAAGAAGGCCTAGTGACAAACTGATCAATTTTTTGTGAGTGATAAGTTTTCGATCATCGACTGTAGAATTCCCGACATTTCAAATTCCAGGTATTGTGAAGTTGACATTTGCAGTTATTTTACTTTGATTTTGTCATCAAAGTGGAGGTCTAAAATGTCAATGACCGTGTTTGATAATATTAGTTGTCTACTAGTTCATAACTGGTTGAATCAACAAATTGATATTAGCGGATTCATTACCTTTTTTAACTAACCACTTTCATTAGCGGTTTGAAATAAAATGAACTTAAAATTAAATTTGCAATTATTTTTACAAACGTAAAATGACCATTAAAAATGAATTTAAAAGTTTATATATTTACATTAATTTTATTTATTTTTTTAATAAGTTTTGGAAAAAGTTTTAAAAGTTATGGTTACGTTTATTTTAAATAATTACTAACACTGTCATTTTTAAGATGTGCACATTAATGCAAGCACACACATATAAATTTATACTCCTTCCGTCCCAGAAAATTCTTCCCACTTTGACTTGGCACGGAGATTAAGAAAGTGGAATAAAGTGGAAATGTGTGGTTGTGGTTGTGTAAGAAAAAGGTGAAATGAGTGTGAACCACACAAATTGTCCAAAAAGGGAAAGTGGGAAGAATTTTTTGGAACAGCCCAAAAAAGAAAGTGGGAAGAATTTTATGGGACAGAGGGAGTATATTTTTAGTAATAATATTTTTAATATGACTATTTATTAGTTTTTTTAAAGTCTACTCCATTTTGAAAATCTACTCCAGAAAATGACTACAAATGTCAACTTCACAATACTTGGAACATGAAATGTCGGGAATTCTAAAGTCGAGGATCGAAAATTTATTACTCACGAAAAATTGACCAATTTGTCACTAGGCTTTTTTTTTTACCAATTTGACTCAAGTGTTTTTTTTTACCAATCCGTCCAATGACCCTCTTTTTTTTTACCAATCTGGTAATTTGGCCTACATATTTATATAATTAATTTCTTGGCTATTTTTGAATTAAGAACTACTATAGATTCTATATACATGTTGAATGTGTTTCAAAAGTTATTGTGCTTAATTGATAGCATTACTTTTCATATACGGACTTAACTAACATTTTCTCACAAATTCATATTTGAGTATTGTTTAATAATGTCTTAACACACCTTCACATATTTGCACCCCGTGATTTGCCAATGTACCCGGACAATTCGTGAAAAAAATACAATTCGTATAAATGCATAGTCGTCATATTACTTGAGATGTTTATACTTAGACTTCTGATGCAATTATAAGTGTGCATAGTCACCATATGACTTCTGATGCAATTCGTATAAATGCATATACACCATATTACTTGAGATGTTTATACTTAGACTTCTAATGCTTTCATGTATATCAGTATTACATGAAGATAGATGATGTCATCAATTGATAGTGTGATTTGAATTACTAAGCATACATAAATTTGAAAGAAAAATTCTTAAACCGTGCATCGCACGAGTGAGTTTAGTAGTTACAAACAGAGGTGCAGAATAAGCGTGAATGTTGATATTAAGAAAAATGGTACAAGTACAAACACCTGGACATCATCTCACCAATTTCACTAAGGGTTTGTTTGCAAATGCTTGTGCTTAAATAAAAGCACTTTTTGGGAAAAAGTGATTAATAGTAAAAGTTGGTAGTGTTTGGTAAAATAAGTGCTTTTTGTGTAATAGAAAAAGTAAAAAGTAGATTCTACACGAAAACCGAGAAAGTAAAAGTTGGTAATGTTTGGGAAAATAAGTGCTTTTTTCTTAGAAAAAAGCCACAATCACTTATTTTAAGTGATTGCAAACAGAGCCTAAACATCCTTCTGGAAATGAGTCTGGAAACAAATCCCCTGCTTTGCTAATAACCTGAGCTGCTTCATATTTTACCCGAATCGGTAATTGCCATTTTCTTTTTTGTTATAATCATTGTTATAATCATTCAGGAATTTGGGCAGTTGCTTTATACTTTTATAAACAAGATAACCCTCCTCTCTCCCTAACTAAAGCTGCGATTTCAGGGAAGCATAAGCGTGAGCTATTTAGGTTGCTATGCTCGCCAGAATTGGTTGTCAGTCGACTGTTCTCGGACGATATTTACGAGCATTTTCCGTTCACCGGAATATTGGAAACAGAATGAAATCGAGAGCAGGTGTGAGTTCAGAAATTTCCTGTGGGAGTGTGAGTTTTTCATCTTAAACTGACGTTTTAAATTTGCTCATCAAATTGATTTACAACTATCAATGTCATTTGTTTCTGTAAGCCCCAAAATGATTGTATTTTAATGATCACTAATAAATTTATTAGTTTTCGTGAATCTTAATCTTTCATAAATCACCCCCAATACCAACTGTTTGCTAGTGCTGAATTATGTGGTCAGGCTTGTCGAATTGATAGGGATTATGATTTTTGGATTACTATTTTTGGCCGGCCAGGATCATCCGTCACAGGAAAAGATTTCACATTATGCAGGGAAAAGAAGGCGGATAAGTCCTGATAAAGAATCTGGAGATGGAAAAGAAAGCTTTTCACATTTATCTACTTTTAATCCTAGTCACAGTAATAAAAGGAAACCTATAATTGACTTGGGTGCTCAGTTTGAGCTACACGCAGACCCGACAATTCAGAAAATTGGTTCAAGGAGATTGAGTTCGTTCGACCTGGAGAGAGACTCTTTGCTACCTAGTAGTTTTGGGAAGAAGAATGTGTCTTCTGGTCGTAGTAAGTCAAAGCTTGAAAAAATAAATTCTTCATCAAAAGTTGAAGTCAAGAAGTGTAAAGAAGTTTTGAATATGCACGAGCCATTTGATATTTGTTTGTCTGAGAGTAGAGAAGGGGTCACTCTTGAAGCTCCTTTACAAAGGAAGGAGGGGGAGAAACAGTCCGAAGCGGATCAGTCTATTGAAAACAGTGGGAAGATTCTGAGACCAGGAATGGTTCTACTTAAGAATTACATCACTCTAGATGAACAGGTAACATTTAGGTGATACTCTCTTCTCAATTCTCATTATATGTGTGAGCGTGAGTGTGTATGAAAATCAATTGCTTGCAGTTATTTACACCTTAGTGGCTGTGTGCATTGCATGATTTAGGGCTCTATCATAAAGACATGTCGAGAACTAGGACTTGGGAAGGGTGGATTTTATCGACCTGGATACAAAGATGGATCAAAGCTACGTTTGCATATGATGTGTCTTGGTCATGATTGGGATCCTCAAACTAGAAGTTATGGCAAGACAAGACAACATGACAACGCTGAGGCAGTCCCCATTCCTCATGAATTCTCTAAGTTAGTTTCCAAGGCCCTCGATGATTCTCACAAGTTGATCGAAAGACAATTGGAAATGTGCAACCCAGAGGAAGTGATTCCTTTGATTACTCCAGATGTATGCATCGTCAACTTCTATACTGTAGGGGGGAGACTTGGTCTTCATCAGGTAAAAAATAAAAACTTTGATTTTCTTAGACTTTCATAGTTGCATTTGTGCTCTCATCTTATAGAGCGTAACTATAAATTTTGATTTTGGCCCATCAAAATGAAAATTTTCCAATATTTCAATGCTAAATGAGGTTTTGCTCTCTCTCTTGTATGCTTAGTCTCTCACATGGCACACTTACCTATTTTGAGTAGGCTATTTCAATAGCTTATAGTATCTTAAATACTTATCTTTAGAAATGGTCTGCTATTGCCTTCAGCTATATGGTTTTTTATGAGGTACTATCATTAACGTCAAGTCATCAACAAGTAAAAGGATTTTACAATATAGTCTAACATAGATATTTCCATTGCATCTGCTTCGTGTCATGTTGGGATTTTAGAAGATACATTGTGTTATTTAAACAAAATAGCATGATGAATGTACATAATCAATACATGGGGAAAAATAAGATTTCTGAAACATAGATATTGAACTAACACGAACGACTTGCCAACCTCTGTAGGTAGACGATTAAACTTCTGAAACAGTAGATAAATTTTTGGTTGAAGTATTTGATATATCATTGTTGATAACTTGATATCCACAGGATCGTAATGAAAGCCCAGAAAGTCTTCACAAGGGATTGCCTGTCATCTCCTTTTCTGTTGGCAATACTGCCGAGTTTTTGTACGGTGACGAGAGGGATGTTCAGAAGGCTGAAAAAGTATTACTGGAGTCTGGAGATGTGCTGATATTTGGTGGGAAGTCAAGACATATTTTTCATGGTGTAACATCAATTATCCCCGACACAGCTCCAGTCTTACCTGAAGGCATAAAGCCACTTCGCCCTGGGCGCCTAAACCTGACCTTTAGACAGAACGAATTATGAAACTTATATTCATCTAATATTTTTATTTGCATGTGTTTCTCAATGAAATTGTATTTCCAGCATATGCCAGAAATGAAGCAAGTCCTTTCCTGGACCGATACTGACCAGTTTTTAACCGGAAACTGACCTGACCAGACCAGCACAGGTAATTGGTTATTTTATAGCCACATTGTACAAAAAAAAAGTATGACCAGACAGGCTGGTTCCGATTTATTTAATAGTTTAATAATTGAAACGGAACATTATCCAGAATCGCTTGTTCTTCCAAACCATAACCGTGGTATTACCGGTTACGGTTTTGTTCTCCTACACTAAAGCGGGATTGGGACAAGATCGGAACCTCTTTTCTCTGTTTGTAAATTTAAGACTACACAAATATATATGAACTTAAGACCAAAGATGAACAAATGACTTAAAGGTTTCTATACAAAGTACCATTTCTCACAAAAAAGAAGATGCATAAATGGCTGCGTAAATAATAAACACACGCAGCACAGCTACAGTTAACATAAGCGATTAACACCTAGTCAAACTTTATCTGCAATGTTGTCTCAGTATCAATTCTTTCTTATCATAAGTCATAAACGTGTCTCTCTTATCCTATATTCGTATAAATCGTGCATGTATAAGAGGCAATTGATATACTCCGTATAAACTTATACGAAGTATATTAAAGATAAAAACATATACTTCGTCATGACATTATATTAGTAGGAATTTGGGTTGCCATAATGCCATGACATTGCACAATGAGGAACGAGGTGGCCAAGGACCAAGGTATTGGACCATCAATTTGGGAGTGATTGGTGATTCACTTCAAAGGGTAAAAACCATCCATGATTTTCTGGACCGTGATTGGACCAGTGGTCAACATAATGTAGGTTTGGTCCTAGCCTTAGTACATTTCGACTTGCCTTCGTAAGTTAGTAACTTAGTATGTTTTTACTTGGACTGGAATATGCTGATTTAATCTGGTCTGGTCTAGTAAATGTCTTGTCTTTGTGTATTTTATAACTGCGGAAGTTTGGTCTGGTCTGGCCTGTTTCAGTTTAGTTTGGTTTGCGACTGAAAACAGTCCAAGTAAAAACATCCTTCCAAACCGCTAAAGTTATTTTGATTTGGCGGGAATGAAAAATGACTTATAGCTACTTAGCATGCTCTTAATATTGATTTGAATGATATTAACCGTAATGCCGTCAAACTACAAAGAGTTTTGCTCAATAACTAAAAAATTAGGTCATGTTATCCCCATGATTTCAAGAAAAGACCCTGTCCATAACTCCATATAGTCTATATAACCCCTACTTAGGACAGACTAAATTGTGTCACTTGAGATTGCTTGAACGTATTTGGAAACCGTTTCATACGCACTGTGTGATTAATGACATGCACCCAAATCTATTGAACAAAACAAAGTTTTAAGATGTAAAGTACATGCATGAAGTAAAAGGGTAGAATTGTTTAGTTGAAGAGTTGAACAATCCCTAATACCCATATGGCAGACGCTTCTCACTGCACCTCGAGAAGACGTTTACATGATTGGAGTTTTGTAGTCCTAATTTTGTGCCCTTCACCGCTCTGCAATCTCCACACTCGTATCAGCACATTTTTGCAATGCTGGAAAATAACTATTTTTCATAAATGCTTGCAACCATAAGATTTTCAGTCTTTGAATACAATCATATGCTTCCTATTTATTGAAGCCTTCAGTTGAATTGTGGCCGCTGGTATGTCTTAGATATGACTTATGAGGCTTCTCCTAATCTCTTTTGAGTACACTAAATATGAAGGCGCGTGCTAGTGAGCTTGTCGTTCCCATCTTGTCTTTTCGGGTTGTGTGAGCAGATTCCTTTTTGAAGCTATCTTCAACTGATCTCTTTTAATAAATCATATTTGGTCTTTTTTCATAAATATTAAGGACAGTTCCCGAAATAGGACTAAAAAAGTTTGCAAATTCCAAAATAGGACTGTCATGTTTTTATTCCCAAAATAAGAGTAATTACTGTCAAGTTTGGAAAATACTTCCATGTTTGAAGTCTGGTACTGCCAAAACATGGCAGTAATTCTCTTATTTTGGGAATAAAAACATGGAAGTCCTATTTTGGAATTTTCAAACTTTTTTAGTCCTATTTCTGGTAATATTCTCTAAATATTACTAAATCAAATTAAAAAGTCAAGAATATGTCTTGTTTTAAAATTTTCTAAAAAAATGACATATTTAGTGACTAGTTCTCAGTTCTCAGTGACGCATCATCTACTAGTGACTTGTCACTCTGAAATACTTTACAGTGACTCTTATCCAATTATTCATAGATGGGGGCTAGTCATATTTTTGTCCAAAAACATAACTAATCATATTTTGTCCAAAAACATGCATAACTAGTCATATTTTTGTCCAATGAAGCTCTATTAGTAATATACATGTCATTTTTTCAACTCATTTTCACAATCTTGTTGCATAACCTTTTTCTTCTCGAACTTCTAATTAAGGGTGTACTCTTTTATAAATAAATAAATAAATAAATAAATAACAGAATGTGTGAGACCAAATGCTTCTTTTCTTAGGGAGTTAGCTGGCATTTCTGCTTAGTTAATCTCTTTAATTAGATTGTGATATTCCGTTTCTTTCATTTTATTATTAAGATGATATGGCTTATATCGTCACTAAGGATGGTTTTGATTGAATTGTTTTCGCACTCAGATCAGACTAGACTTCCATAATTATACTAGTTTTTCTGCGCGCGATGCGCGATTGAGTTGATGCCCAATATGATATATGTAATGTAAATATTAATATATTTTCTAGATTGGCCTTTTTTAAACTTTAATCCGTTGAATTATGTATACATGCACTTCGGAAAATTTAAAAGTAAATTTAGGTATCATATTTTTGAAATAAAAATGAGTAGGCATATAAATACATTGATAAAAAAGAGCATAATCATATATGGCAAAATACAACCAGTTTTGGTAGACGAAAACAAAATTAAAGCATACTTTGTGATAAAATATACTCCGTATATATTAACCAAGTTAAGTGATGAAGATTAAAAAACAAAGTTCCCAGCCACTGTGTGACTACGTCTCATATGATGAAGGGTAGTTGTCACCAGGTTGTATAACTTAAGCTTACTTAGCACCTAAACATAAATATCGTTACAAAATTGATGTCACTACGAGAGCTCAAGGAGTTAAATAATCGCGTACAAAAATAAAAATATTACTATAAATGTTTAGTGATGCATAACTGACACTACAAGAAAAGTGCACATAGACCGCACATAGACCAATATTTTTTTTGCGATGACAGCATAACTGTCATTAAAAACACCATTAACCACGCACAAACACCACCTATGTCACATACTCACTTATACTCCGTACTATTTGATGAAACAATAATGTGTGGAAATTGACAAGAATTGGTCTATCCTATAATAAAAATAGGTATAATTACATGCGGCGTATAGAAGAACTTTTTAGGAAAACACAAGTGCTCAAATCCAGAGAGTAAGCCAAGTGTGTCATTATATTTAAAAGTAGATCTGATCTCTATTTGATGGCTAACTAACATTAATGTTAAACAATTATATCACATAATTTAAATTAACACATCACACAATTTAAATTAATACATTACACACTTAGAAGCTGTTCTCTTCACCTGATTTGAATGTTTCTGATCTGAATTTTTTAAGTTCTGATCTGATCTGATCTGATCTAAATCTTTCTGATCTGATCTGAATGTTCCTGATCTGATCTGAATGTTCCTGATCTGATCTGAATGTTCCTGATCCGATCTGAATGTTTCTGATATGATATGAATCCTTCTGATCTAATCTGAATCTTTCTGATCTGATTTGAATATTTCTAAAATTATACTCCCTCCGGTTTTTAATAAACTTCACACTTTCCTTTTTGGGAAGGGCTAAAATAAACTTCACACTTCCTTATTTCCTTTTTTTGGCAAAGAAATCTACATCAAAACAGTGCCAAACAGCGCCAAACAGTGTCTCAACAGTGCCAAACAGTGTCTCTACAGTGCCAAACAGTGCCTCAACAGTGTACTCTACAGTAAAGTCAAATTTCTTTCCTTATTTTGTGTGAAGTCAAACTGTGAAGATTAAAAAAAACCGGAGGTAGTAATTATAATTATAATTACTATAATTATAAATGTAATTACACATATATAATTTAAATATAATTAAAATTATAATCATAATTATAAAAGTTATAATTATAATTACAAACATAATTATAATAGGTATAATTATTATTATACGTATTACACTAGTTATAAATATAGCTATAATTCTAATTGTAATTATATTTATAGTTATATTTACTTCTATAATTATAATTTTAATTATAATTATAATATTTATTTCTATAATTTTAATTGTAATGACTCCGTATAATATGATAATAACGAAAACAAAACTAATAACAATAACAACAACCATAATAGTAGTAAGAATAATAATAATAAATATCATAAAAATAATAATAATCCTAGTAATCATAGTAATCATAATAATAATAATAATAATAATAATAATTATTATTATTATTAATATTATTATAATAAGGGATAAATCATGTTTGAACTTTTCTGATCTGATCTGAATGTTCCTGATCTGATCTGAATGTTTCTGATCTGATCTGATGTTTTTGATCTGATCTGAATCTTTCTGATCTGAATGATTCTGATCTGATTTGAATCTTTCTGATCTGATTTGAATAAAATAAGAATAGGCAATAAGTAATAAGATTAAGACGAACAGAAGAGCTTCTTAGAGCCCGTTTGGTAACACTGAAATTGACTGAATCTGCTGAAACTTGTGAAGTTCTGGGTGAAATGGATAGATTGACTAACTATTTTGATTTATGAAAAAATTATATTTAAAATATTTTTTAATAATAGAATTAAGAAAAAATTATTTGAAAAAATAGCGACAATGATAATTTATAGTAACTTTAGCCAATACAGTCATAAATGTAACTACAACCTTTTTTTTTCTTATTATTAAACAATTCAACGCGCGAAATAAAATGTTACGAGCCCGTTTACCATGATGGTCGGGCTTATCAGTCAGTTTTTTCACCAAACACGTAACTTTTGATTCCGCGAGATGAAGTGTGTAATAACAAGAAAAAGTAAGGTTGAAGTTAGTTTTTGGTTGTATAAGCTTAAGTTATGTGGAGGATCATTTTAGATGTTTTTCATGTATATAATTTTTTTTTTTTTAATAAAAAAATATTTTAAATATAATCTTTTCATAAATCAGCATTATCAGTCAATAGAGTCACTTCAGCTAGAACTTCTTAAATTTCAGCAGAATAAGTCACTTCAGCCAATTTCAAAGTTACCAAACGAACTCTTGATGAAAAAGCTGATTGAAAATCTTGACAAGTCGGAAAACAGGATCACCAAACGGACCTTTATACTCCGTAAGAAAGTACGCATCATCATCTTTTCGATATGTACCTAAGTTTAGAAAATGCGCGTTGGATCGATCCGATAATGAGAAAATTTTATATTTAAACTATATTGAACCAATACCATGCACTTGGTTCTAAAAAACGAATTAAAAATTAATAAAAGGTATGGGTCGACTATGGATGGCTATCCACTCTTCTAAATCTAAACTTCAATACGGAGTATAAAGCCTTTGAACAGAGATAATTAAAGAAGCCGATGAGAGTTTTACGGAGTGTAGCCAGAGTTATAGTTAAGTAACGGAAAGTTGGGGATGTTTGTGGTATAAAAAGAGTTGAAGTGATTAGAGTACAATAGTTTATGACTTTATGCATACGTTTCAAGTTCATTTTAGCATGTGGTTACACAACACATTTTTCAAGTCCAAAATAACCTTACCTTCATTCACCCTTATAATTGTTTAGAAATTACTCCGAGATCAGACATTTACCAAATTAGACCAGATCAGACCATTTCAGACCAGACTTAAACAGACTAGACCAGCAAATGTATGTACAAGTAAAAACATCCTAACATCATCTTAGGCCACTCATACATTTTGCTAAGCACATCTTTTATTTTCTTCTTCTTCTTCTTCTTCTGTTTTGCTCTAATAGAACTATTGAAGAATAAGGACATCAACAATTGTTCATACCATACATAATTACAATGTCTCAATGAAATTATTAGAAAAACACTCGTAATGCGGTCATCCTATAATGTTAATTACTCAGTGCCAATTTAAGTAACTAAATGGAAATCAAATTTCAGATGAAATATTATATGAAGATAAATTGGGATAAATGTAAGATGAAAATGAATACAATTTATGAAAAAAAACAGATTAAGGCTCAATTTGATGGGCGTGAAAATTTATAAACTTATTTGGTCTAAATTAATCAGATCCGGACTAGTCTAATTTATTATATGTAAGTATGATCTGATTCTTATGATAGTTGTTATAACATAAAAAAATCAACTTTCTTTTGATTTAATTTTTAAATTGATGATAATGATAATGATAGTCTTATAACTGTTTAGGCCAATAAAGACAATCAAACTATAAGTAATCTTTTTTTTATCGTAACTATAAGTAATCTTATAAAACCAAGCTAAAAGTTTTTTTTAAATTGTTAACTACATAAGTAATATGAAGTATATAACATATTATTATTGAGTATATTTTCAGAATAATAGAATTTACATAACAACATATCAATCCACATTAATTTGAATAGATGAATCCGATTAGTCATAAAATATTGTAGCACTAAAACACACTGACATTCATGACTTGTACTCCGTATTTCCAAAATGCATACGATATATACTAGACATAAATGGTCATACCATACCAAAGTTAAAGAGGGCAGTTCCAATCGGAGCGTCTTGACCAGAACACTGTGCGGACAAGGTCATCAGAAGGTCTTCTCAGTGGAATTTTTTTTATGCAATTTTTTGAGCATGTTTTTCGTCAAGTCTAGTTTGTCCATACCAAATTTCATCTCACCATTCGATTGGGAAGGTAGTTAAATAAATTATGTAAACATACTGCGCATTTTGTACATATAATTGAGCGCATTTTTTGAGCATGTTTTTCATCAAGTATGTTTCAAAAATTTGTTTAACTGCCTTCCTGATCGAATTTTGAACTAAAATTTGGTATGGACAAACTCGACTTGATGAAGAGCATACTCAAAAATTTTATCAAAAAAATCCATCGGGAAGACCATCTGCTAGCCCTTGTCTGCACGGGGTTCCGATTAGGACGACTTGACAGGAAAGGGCGGGTCTCCCAAAGTTAAAGTCTTAGAGCCCGTTTGGTAGCACGAAAATCGGCTGTTTTGGCTGATTCTGTTGAAATTTATGAAGTTCTGGCTGAAGTGGCTGCTTTGGCTAATTCTGCTGATTTAGGTAAAAATTGTTTTTAAAATAATTATATTAATAAAATAAAGAAAAAATATATGTAAAAATAGCTAAAATGGTCATCTACAGTAATTTCAGCCAATACAACCAGAAAAGTAACTCCAACCTTACTTTTTCTGCTTATTACACAATTGAGCGCGTAAGAGCAAAAATTACGTGTTTGGTGAAAAAGTTGGTTGATAAGCCTAATAAACCGAAAAACATTGTTGTCAAACGGCCTCTTAGACAAACTATGCTTCATACGAACTACGGAGAAAGTAAGTAGATAAAATATTACTACGTAATATAAAGTAAACAAGTCAGTAAATTAATCAAGAATATAATAAGATTATATAGTGATGTCAGGACCAATCTAGTGTTATCCCAGTGTGAATAATGTGTGATACGTAGTATGATACGTTTAAGCGTGTCCATAAAACGAGACATATGTCAACTTTTAAACATACCATTTATTTCAATTTGAGTTGAAATAATTACATAAATATGATTAAGATAAAGATGGTTTAAAAAAATATAATTAGTTACTAGAGTAGTAATGAAATCATGGTAATTCATGTTCAAGTTTTGAAAGTAAGTTACCACAACACTACGTTGTAGTAATGAATAGTCATATTTATGTAAATATGTTTTATTTTAGTAATATTCTTGTAAAAAAACCCTTTCGATTTCACAATATTAATTAAAGATATTGAAACGGCTGCACTCCAAACACAAAAAACCGTGTATACAAAGATTACATGCACGGTAATTCAACGGTTGCTGAATTAGAGTGTTGGATTGAAGTTTCAAATCAACCCCGACAAATGTGAGAGTTTCATCCGAGTGGCTCTTGTGCTCACCATGCCCCGAACCAATTTATCAAAAACTACGATGAATTTCACAATATTAATGAGAAAAGGGTCAGATTGCATAAAAGAGGTCAACTAAGTCCTTATATAGGAGATTCTGCCCGGCCGTCGCCATTTGGGGCTGTTCCTGGTGGAATTTTTTGATGAAATTTTTTGAGCATCTTATTCATTAAGTCTAGTTTACTCATACCAAATTTCAGCTAAAACTTCAATCGAGAAGGCATTCAAATGAATTCTTGAAAATAACTGTGCTGTTAAAAACAACACAGTCGTACGTAATATTAAAAAGATCACATTGTTTTTAAAAAGATCACATTGTTTTTAGTCCGTTTTAGGAGAATTTCGAATCAATAAACTGTTAATTAACGATATAGAAACGGTTGCACTCCAAACATAGAAACCGTGTAAATAAAGATTACATGCACGGTAAGTCAACGGTTACTGAATGAGACTATTGGATTGAGGTTTCAAGTCAATTCCCGACAAATGTGAGACTTTCATCCGAGTAGCTCTTGTGCTCACCATGCCCCAAACCAATTTACCAAAATCTACGACGAATTTTCCTAAACAAAAGTAAAAATTTATGCGTATTCTAAAATAGAGCTCTTATATTTTTAAACCACATAGAAATAATTATTGTCATGTTTTGGAAATATCAAAATTTATGCGTATTCTAAAATAGAGCTCTTATATTTAAGTTTAAAAATAATTACACTTGTTTAGAGAATAAAAACAGTTTTAATTTAAATTTCTCAAACATTTCTTCCCTATTTCGAAAATTTTCGAACCATTCTTCCATCCATCCATGCTTGTGTACGGTCATCCGTGGTGGATTCCGTTGAGTAAATAAAGATTCACTGGCGGCTCAGTCGTTCTCCCTCTCGGTTCACTATTTTTTCACAAAATTCTCGAATTTCAACCTCCCGTTTTTTCTCTCTCCTCCCTTCAGCAGCCGCACTGCACTTCTACTCTCTTTCTCCCTTTACTACCTCCACCTTCTAGGGATTCGCCGCCGCCTCTTCAGAACCATCGTAGCCGCTTCCCGAACTGGAACCTCTCCGTGCTCCATCTACCGCCGCCGCTGGCCACTGGCTTCGTTGATTAGTCCCAAACCCCTCCACTTCCCCGCGTCACTTCACGCCCCGCGTGGAAACCAATCCCCGATCATGTTCACAATCCCTTTGACCTAGCTAACGCGGCGTCTGGTTAGGGTTATGAATTGCAGTCCGAAATTTGTACGATTAGGGCAGGGCTGATTGCTTAGTTGGAGGTGTCAGGGGTGGTTGGATTTGTTGGCTTCATTTTGGATGGCATTGGGGGATTTAATGGTGTCCAGGTTCTCGCATTCTTCGGCCACCCTGGTTTCTAGCCACTTGGAGGACTTCGCCCATCACGATGAAGGGGAGACTGGAAGTAGCAACCAGATTAGAATTAGGGACTCTTTGGAGACTGCTCGCAGTAGCTATGGCGGCAGTGCTGACAATGCCTCCACTTCGATGACGACGACAACAAGCATGGCATATCTGCCGCATACTGTAGTGTTTTGTGAGCTTAGGCATGATGGATTTGAAGAATGCAGGCCATCTGGGCCACTGGAAAGCGGGCTGGTTTCCAAATGGCGTCCAAGGGATAGAGTAAGAACTAAAGATGCCCCATTTCCCTGCTTTGGTTTGCATGCCTCTTATTTTGCTTCATTATTTGTACTTAACCATTTATTACTTTTTTTTGCATATTGATATATTTTAAAGCGCTGCTTTCTGTGTTCTGCTTGAATATAATTTATGCGACTCATCTCCTGCGTGTGTATATAGATTTTGGATCAAATGAGAACCATGCTTAACGTGAGAACGTGAGAACTCCACTTTTCGGCAAATGTGATGCAATATACCATGTATACTGTATACGCTACACATTTTTGTGCTGATGAAATATTTACGAATCTGCCATCACATTTTTTGATGTTGGCATGTTTTGACCAAAGTTTAAAAAAGTGACGAGCCTCATAGTGCACCAATCTGTGTGAAACGTGCATGGCTCTCACGTTCTCACGTTAAGCATGGTTCTCATTGGAACCGCTCCCTATATGTGTGTATATTTATGTGGGTGTGTTAGGCAAACATTTGATTATCGTTTCTGCAAATTTAAGCCAATTGAAGTGCAAAGCACTAAGTTGAATTCAAAAAAACAAAAGTGTTATGTGTCTTGGTTGCCATTATTTGTTTGATGGTTTGAACTACATATGCTACACATTTGTGAGACTCAAGTTAGGATTGTTATCACGAGTAGTAAATTGCATCCTGCCATTTTGGACGTATTGAATCTTTTTTATGCTTTACTGAAGTGGCTATCGAGCCAACGGGGCATTAATGTTTTTGTGCATTTGTCCTCATATAGTTAATGCCACTGTTCAGGGATTCAAATTCATTTAAAAGTTGGTATAAGACCTTTCCTGTGAGCCCACCTTCCAGGCAAGGACCTACCTATGTAGGTCGTGTTTCTCAATATTCATGTCTTCAAATCTTCTGAGTCTTTCTAGCCTTATCCACCTTCTTCCACGAAGCCAATAATTTAATTTTGGAAATAGAGAGAGGAGGTGAGTGGCAGCCGCAATAATGCTGTCTTACACCTTTTGAGAGGTATTTTTCATCTATGGGCTATGGTATATTTTGTAGGTAATATCGGTTCCCCATCTGTGCTATATTAGGGGCAGGCATTAGAATATATCAATGAGGTGCTACATCAAGTCCTTGAAAATACTGCAAGTAGAGATGGATAACATTTTGTTTATTTATATTATAAATTTTTTAGACTGGTTATAATGTTGAATTAATCCCTGTTCAGTACTCTTATTTTTCTCCTTTCCATAGTGCTTACTTCTGTCCTGAAAAATAGCCATGGGTTTGATAACGCTTCATTTCATATTTATTTTTTAAGGTTCAACTATTACATGCCATTAATCCAAATTTTTTGTAGTTCATTTTTTCATTTAAAAATTTATCAAATTCAACTTTTTTGTTATTCTTTGCTGGAATATTGCACAAACACATGATTCTACTTTTGACCCATTTTTTATTATATAATATAAAACTTGATTGTTTTATGAGATAAAGAGAGCCCTAAAGCTATTCAAATTTCTTCACTTGAGGAGATACCCTCCGCCACCAGCAGTGACATATTAAAAAGTTGTACAGTCATTTTTTTTTTGAAATTTTTAAAAAATTAGTTACATTATAGATGATGTATTAACACTATAATTTGTGCTTGATGATTTTGTTTTGTCTTGATTTGGGAGGGTTTTCATTTTCTCTTTTGGAAAGAGTCGTCCACCTATTCGACCTACTTTTGTGCATATGATATTTATGTAGTAGAACTATGCTTTGTCACAGAACATGGGACAATTTTTTTCCTTAAAACTTTGAATGACTTGAACCATCTGATACTAAAGTTCGTACTTCCGCAGTCTCTCACCGCTGCTGTATGAATATTGGTATGAATGTGTCTTCAACCTGCAAGTGTGCATGCCATGGTATAAGATCAAAGTATGCAAATATTGTAATGTTATACTCCGTAATATAATAACATTATATATTTGATGTTATGGATGTATATTTTGAGAAGTAGTTGGGTGGGTATATAATATAATGGGGTAATTGATGATAATTGTGATGTTATGATGTATTGTTAATTTGCTATTAACATGTGATGATTAAGTTGTCATTTAAGAGAGTCAATTATTTCCTAAAATAGAAATGTGAACCCTTAAATGAGACATCAAAAAGAGGCAACTGAGAACATTTACCTTGGACGGAGGGAGTACTTCACTTCATTGTGAATGATAGTGGACAACATTGTTAAATTATTTGTTGAGCCAATTGTTTTTACTTTTTATATTGCCTACAATGATATTGTTTGCTTTTATTCTTCCATTTTGCTGTCACTATGTGTGTGTGTGTGTGTATATACATACTGTGCAGTCTGCTATAGCTCACAGTTTTCATTGCAGATGAAGACAGGATGTGTTGCTCTTGTGATGTGTTTAAACATTAGTGTTGATCCCCCTGATGTTATCAAGATATCACCTTGTGCTCGTATGGAGTGCTGGATTGGTAAAATGACTCTCTGTACCTTATAATTTGCTTAACTCCTGATCTATTTTTGCTTGCTGATGGTTTCTAGCATTGATCAAATTGTGGGATTTTCCTATTTGAATGCTAATTTAATTCAGAATCTCAAAGCCTCAAACTTTAGAAATAATTTTAAAGAAACAATGGCCCTATTATTACTCCCCAGGTTTCTATTTCAAAAAATATAACCACTTTTGTTTTTCCCCAAAACGTGACCCCTCCCTCCGTCTCCCGTGAATTAGACAGGTCGCCCGCAGGCCGCATCCATCTGCATCTTCATCCGAGATGAACAAGCTCTTCGCATCTGCTCCGAGATCTACCAGCTCTGCATCGCCTATCTTCTTCCGTCACCAGCTCCGTCGAAGACAGCGAATCTTGCCGCCTACACCACCAGACGCCGCCCGCTCCAGATCTGCTCCACAAGCTTTGTCCTTCCGTCGTGTCTGCTCCAAATCCGCTCAACTCCAGATGATTCACCACTTCGGCGAGCTCGGAATGAAGGACGACGCTTCGGATATGGCTCCAATGGACGACGAGCAAAGCTTGGAATCCATTGACGACTGGAGAAGCTTTGCGATTTCATTTCTTCTTCTGCAATTTCATCCCTTCTTCTTTAATTTATCCTTCTGTGATGGTCTCCATTGCTAAGGTTAGAAATCTGGCCGCTGGGACTGAGATCTGGTGAGGCAGGTGGGTTGGGTGACGCAGAGTGAGGTGGGTGAGGCAGGGGGCTGGGATGAGACAGGGGAGTGGGGTGGGTGAGGTAGGGGGCTGGGTGAGGTAGGGGCTGGGGTGTGGTGGTTGACAGCGGAGGTTGGCAGGTCGCAGACTTTGGCCGGTTGTGTTGGGGGGGGGGGGGGTGAATCTGGGCGGTTTTGGGGGTGGATCTGGTTGTGAGGGGTTGATGGACGGCTCTAGGCTAGGACAAGGTGCAAGGGTTGTGCCGGAGTGTCAATAGCACGCGGGTGGCGTCACTGCGACGGCGTCACTGCGGTTGTGTCCGGCTACAGTGACATGGGTGGGAGCTATAGTGACACGAGCGGTGGCTACAGTCAAGGTTTTGAAAGGCGAAATCGGGCCTCGAGGCGTTTGCTGGTAGCCTCACGAGGCGTAAGCCTCGAGGCGTAACGAGGCGTAAGCCTCAAAATTAATTGCTTAAATGTTTAAAACAATATCCCATCTAAACAAAATCAAGTAAAAATAACATAACTATAAAACATCCAAGTCAGAATAACATAAAATTGAAATGATTTGTTTACATGAATTTAAATAAACTATAAATAAAATGATTTGTTTACATAAATTTAAATAAACTAGTAACACAAAATAATCAATTAATTAATAATCAACTTTAATAAAGAAGATATAAGTCATATAACCAAACTGTAATGGAGTTAATTATAATATTTCTGATTAAATTTAAATTGTAGTTCTTGATCCAAGTAAAGTAGTAAACTAGTAAAATACGTACGTAGTAAATAATTAAAAAGTTAAAAAAATTAACTTAAACAATAAATACAACAAGAAACTATAGAAGTAGGTTGTACACGGTGGAATATATTTTATACAAGTGGTCGTTGGGTATTTTAATATGTTTTATTTACTTAATAATACCTGGAACGGAAGCAGAAAGATCGAAGTCTACGTACTCACTTCAAGCCTTCAACTGAGAGAGTTTTTCAAGTCGTTTCTTAATATCATAGTAGTGCGGAAGGTAATTAAATAGTTACCTAGGGATGTTTATCCTAAGAGATAAACGTGTAGGTTTTTTTCTTTAATTTTTAAATCGAGGCCCTCAATTAGTTCAAAAAAAAGAGCCCAAGTTGCCTTTAGTAAAATGCGTACGCCTCAATTACGCCTTGCGCACTGGGATCGCATCACCGCCTCAGCAAAAAAAAGGCGTAAGCCTTGTTAGTGGAAGGTGATGCTCAAGCCTTACATGCGATTTGTTAGCGCCTTTGCGCTTTTACGCCTCTGAGGCGTAGGTGCGTTTCGCCTTTTAAAACCATGGCTACAGTGACACAGACGGTGGCTACAGTGACACAGGCGGTGGTTGTAGTGACACAGGCGGTGGCTACAGTGACACAGGCGGTGGTTGTAGTGACATGGGTGGTGGCTACAGTGACACGGGCGGTGGTTGTAGTGACATGGGTGATGGTTGTAGTTACAAAAACACGAACACACAGTGACATAAAATTTTTGCAGTTACATCATGTTTTCTAATTGCACATATATGACCTTCTTGATCACTTTTTTGCCCCCTTTTAAAAGTGATCACTTTTTGGGTAAATGGTTCAAAATGAGTAATATCCAAGTAAAAACCCCAATTTTAAATGCTCACAAGTATTCATTTTCAATGAAATTATTTTACAAAATGTTTTCAAAATTTCAAATGTAGTTCTGTTTGTTAGAAGGATGGTTATTATTGATCCGGTCAATCCAACCCAAAAAAATGGATCATTCTATCAATGTTCTTTTTTATATTGTTCCAAGGCAAGACTGCAAGAGGGACTTCTTTGCATTCATTGATTTTCCATTATATTTGTCCTTGAGAGATTCCTGACTAAATTTGTTCCATATATGATCATTTTTTCAATATGTAGATCCATTTTCGATGGCTCCACAAAAAGCACTTGAATCAATTGGGAGGACTTTAAACCAGCAATATGAGAGGTGGCAGCCTAGGGTAGGAGTGATGTTTTGCATTTTAAGTACTCCTTGAGAAGTCATAGTCATGCTACATGAGTTTTAAAATGAGTTTTAAAGTAATAACTCATAAATTAGCAAAAATCTGTATTTCCAGGCCCGCTATAAAATTTCATTAGATCCCACTGTTGAAGAAGTAAAAAAACTTTGCACAACATGCCGCAAATATGCAAAATCAGAAAGAGTTCTTTTTCACTATAATGGGCACGGTGTACCAAAGCCAACTGCGAATGGTGAAATATGGTTATTTAATAAGGTTTGTCTCTTACCCTAATGCTTTTTTAGGTTCTGTGTTTTTTTTCTTAATCTCACTGGTACATTTTTTTTTAGAGTTATACGCAGTATATCCCTTTGCCAGTCAGCGACCTGGATTCTTGGTTGAGAACCCCATCAATATATGTTTTTGACTGCTCTGCAGCTGGAATGATTGTCAATGCCTTCATAGAGGTAAATGACTAATATATGTTCGATTGCAAACTACAAATTTTCTGATCATGAAGCATGAACATGGTCATTTTTCATATAAAGCTTCAGGACTGGAATGCCTCTAATTCTTCTGCGCCTTCAACAAGGGATTGCATTTTGCTTGCTGCATGCGAAGCGCATGAAACTCTTCCTCAAAGTGCCGAGTTTCCTGCTGATATTTTTACTTCATGCCTTACGACACCCATTAAAATGGCATTGCGATGGTAATTGTTTCTATATTACATTTACCTTTTTCCTTGTTATTGTCCCGTTCGCGACATGGATCGATATGTATTTACAAATGCCTGGCAGCAGTAGCTGTTCATATTGATTATTAGGACACTAAGATTGTAATCTTTGCTTTCATGCCGTTTGTAGTCTCTTCACTGAAACTGGTGCCTGCTAGGGTTCTCGTGTCTTGTGGAGTCTGGACCCATATATAGTAGGATTGATGGTCTTCTTGGCCCCACATCTCCTGCTGTGGGGCTGGTTGTCTTTTAGGACTTGGGTTTAACTAAAGCTCCAGCTTCCTGTCATCCAAGTAGTTTGAGTTAGTCAGACAATGCATTCAATCACAACCTATCAACATCTGTATAAATGAGTAGATCGCTTGGATTTTTTATGCAATTTGAAATTTTGAAGTGGCTCACATTTAATTCATCAAATAATTAACAGACTTGAAATAGAAGGGTGAGTATCCATTCTTTTCGTGATTATGTTTTGGAGTTCGATCTCATTAATGTTTCAACTCTTCTATTACAAAGCCTTGAACCTTTAACCAAACAAAAGCAGGATGCTAAAAAGAGTATTTTTTGCATTATCCTGTTTAGAAATGATAAAATTGTCTCTCAGATCTCAATTCATTATACCTCACCTGTACACCAAGGAGTGTTTGCAAAAGCTTAAAAAGTGACAGTTGCTGCTTAAATTAAACACTTAAAGCTGGAGCTAAGTGGAGGGGTGCTTTAAACTGCTTTTCACCTTTTCTATTACACAAAAGGTACTTGTTTTTACCAAACACTATCAACTTTTACTTTTTCAAAGTCACCCTTTTCTCCAACACTATCAACTTTTACTAATAAGCTCTTTCTTTAAAATCACTTTAAGATCACTTTTTGAAGTAGAAACAACCATAAACACTTCCTAAAACCTGTCAGGCTGTCACACTATTTCTAATGAATTCAACAACATTTTTATCTCATTTCTAAAAGGGTACTCAAGTAGAACTTTTAATAGTAAAGCTGCTCTAACTGTCACTTATTATACTGGGGCAAATGCTGAAGTATGCACGCGTAATTAATTATTGAGATATCCATTTTTGAGTGTTTTCCTATCAAACATGTCTGTTTGGCGGAGAAAATGAACAGATATTAAAGTAACACTTTTTTCTTTTCTACTTTTTATGTTTTGTACTTTTGTAACTAAGATCTATGTAAAGTTAACAATAGGAAACAAGTCCATTGAGTATGTGTGGATTTAAATTTCAAATACTATTCACTTGTTCGTTTGTTGCACTGAAGGTCATCCTCAATGATAAGGATTTTTTCTTGTTTCCTCAAAGCTCATACTGCTCTGCTGCATGGTGTTTCCCTTGCCTGCTAATTGCATACATGAAATTGGACTGCTTAAGAAAATTGTTGAGTTTAACATGCTTGTGATTGTTTTTATTCTTGATTTTTACGCAGTATTTGGTTACAGACATATGACATGATGCGATTTCCTTGATGAAAATTGCTATGTATTTGCTTGCATCCTCAAAATTTTCATTGTTTGGTTTTCACAGGTTTTGCACTCAATCTTTGTTGCGCGACTCACTTGATTACTCACTCATAGATAGAATTCCTGGTCGGCAAACTGACCGGAAAACACTTCTTGGGGAACTGAACTGGATATTTACAGCGGTTACAGACACAATTGCTTGGAATGTTCTTCCCCATGGTATTTAAAGATAAATAAAAGAATTAACATTCTCTCGGCAAGTTGTATTGCATGGTAGTCTTTATTAAACTTAGATGTTGAATACACAGATCTATTTCAGAGATTGTTTCGGCAAGATCTCTTAGTTGCGAGTTTGTTTCGAAATTTCTTACTTGCTGAAAGAATAATGCGCTCAGCAAATTGTTCACCAATTTCATACCCGATGTTGCCACCTACCCATCAGCATCATATGTGGTAACTAAATGTGGTCCCTAAAATTTGTTCTACTTGAAGTTTACATTCTCCTTATTTAAGTTCACACACTCTGTAGGGATGCATGGGACATGGCTGCTGAAATATGCCTTTCTCAGCTTCCAACATTAGTTCAGGATCCCAATGCCGAGTTTCAAGTGAGAATAATCAGTTTGTTCTTCTGTTGTATACATTTGTCCATTTTCTCCAGTGGTTAGATTTATGCGTTTTTGAAAAAAAAAATCATGACTTGGACGTGTTTGGTTAGTAACATTTCTTTCCCAAGATTGACTTTTTACACTAAAATTTGCAGTCAAGTCCATTTTTCACTGAGCAGTTGACAGCTTTTGAGGTCTGGCTGGATCATGGATCAGAGCACAAGAAACCTCCAGAGCAGTTGCCTATAGTGCTTCAGGTATAATTTTTCTTGATAATAATAGATTTTTCTTCTTCTCCTACATATCCTCTTATGCGATGTTTTTTTATTACTAAATATTTTAATGAGATGAAAATTTTAATGAATATATACCTAGTACATACTGCATAGTTTTTATTTTATTTTATGTTGTGATACTTTTTAATCACTAGTTGTTCTTCCAGCTCGTGAATACTGAATACATCTTTTTTTCTTGGATCTATTTAAACTCAACATTAAATGTAGTATAATAGTGCTAATTTAATAAGTTTGTGCTATGTTGATTGTTGATACGACCTCCTGTCTTGGGAAAATTTCTATTATGATCACTAAGCTATGGTTCACTAGTCAAATCGATACCTAGTTGACAGGCAGATATCAAACACCAATGTGCTCATTCATTTCAGTTTGGTTGAAGTCTTCTTTTTTAATCTGTTGACCATTTGAATGTTGAAATAGAATGTCAAACGGTGATCCTTCCAGTCAGTTGTGCTTATTCTATTAATTAATTCTTCAATGTGGATTATGTGTTACCTTTAGTTCAAATCATACTTATGTGCAATCTAATCCGTCCTACCTTTTCATTCTAAGGTGTTACTCAGTCAATGCCATCGGTTTCGTGCTCTGGTGCTTCTTGGAAGATTTTTGGACATGGGACCTTGGGCTGTTGATCTGGTACATCTTGGTGGTTTGTGGTTAAAATTTGTTTTAGCTTTGTATTCCACTAGTTTAATGACAATTTTGTATGTTCATCTAGGCATTATCTGTGGGTATATTCCCATATGTTTTAAAGCTGTTGCAAACAACCACTCCAGAACTTAGGCAAATTCTTGTCTTCATATGGACAAAGATTCTTGCACTTGATAAGGTATACTTCAAAATTTCCGTTGTACTCGTGTCAAGTTATTTTCAAATGTTCTTTCTAGTCCACAAATTGGCTTACATGTATATCGATGTTATACCCACCATATTCTTAAGGTTGCTTTATGACATATGTTTCTTTTCATTCCCTGACACACATATGTGGGATGAAAGGGAAATGAAAGATATTAGTTACAAACTTACAATACTAACTATCAGCATAATTGTGTTAACAGTCTTGTCAGGTTGATCTCGTAAAGGATGGTGGACATACATATTTCACCAGGTTTCTCGATAGTATTGATGCGTATCCAGAGCAGAGGGCCATGGCTGCATTCGTCTTGGCAGTCATTGTGGATGGTCACAAACGGGGGCAGGAAGCCTGTATTGAAGCTGGCCTTATACATATCTGCCTAAAACATCTTCAAGCATCAGCACCAAATGATGCACAAACTGAACCTCTTTTCCTTCAATGGTTGTGTCTATGTCTAGGGAAACTATGGGAAGATTTCACTGAGGCACAAATGATTGCTCTACAGTCTGATGCACCCACAATATTTGCACCTTTGCTTTCTGCACCCCAACCCGAGGTTTCTAGGAGATGATTTTACTTTCCTCTTTGGGTTTACAGTTTACTTTGTTGTAGAATTTAATCTTTCGATATTTTTTTCTGATTAATACCAGGTCCGTGCTGCTGTTGTGTTCGCACTAGGCACTTTGCTGGACATTGGGTTTGGTACCTCTAAGGATGGTGTTGGGGGAGAGGAAGAGTGTGATGGTGATGAAAAAGTCAGGGCTGAAGTTAGTATTGTTAAGAGCCTTTTAAGTGCTTTCTCGGATGGAAGCCCATTGGTTAGGGCAGAGGTTGCAGTAGGTATTCAATATCTTGACCTCTGGCCATGTTCTCATGTGACATAATTGTTTATTTAGTTTTAACTCACTGTTCACTTAAGCAAAAAGAATGAAGAGAAAAGGAAAATCATAAGTTTTTATAATGTTTAGTTACAGTATTCTAGGTATGGAAGAAAGTTGTAAAAACTTTGCTTTTTAATGCATCTTTTGATCTACGAAAGGTTTCTGATTGCAAGCATAAAAAGGCTTTTCTAAGAAAACTTTTGAGACTTCGCATTCAACTGAAAAGCATAAACTGTAAAATATTTTTGTGTTTTAGGACATTTTGTGTTTGTTTTTCTGTGGAGTGGGGTTCAAAGTTTTTCTGACTCTACATATGTTTCCCAAATTTTACATTCTCAGTGGGTGTGAAGTTTAGTCAGCCATTTGGCTGCTTTATCCCATGTTGGTCATACATGACATGCAAGTAACATTTTTTATTGCTCATCACACATTTGCAGCATTGGCACGCTTTGCATTCGGGCATAATAAGCACCTAAAGTCTGTTTCAGCCTCTTACATGAAACCTCAGAGCAATTCTGTGCTTACTTCTTTGCCTTCTTTTGCTGTCAAGAGTTCTGGCAGTGGCTATACAACGCCAACTCATTATGTGCCTTATGGAAGTATCATTCCATCTTCGATAGCTCCCTTATTGAGAATTGGAGGTGAAAACCAATCTGCTACTCGGGATGGGAGAGTCTCTGCTAGCAGCCCCCTTGCTGCACCAAGTATAATGCACGGCTCTCCCTTGTCTGATGATTCATCACAACATTCTGATTCTGGATTATTAAATGACCCAATTAACAATGGCACTTTGAACCGTACAAGAGCACTAGATAATGCATTGTATTCTCAGTGTGTGTTAGTTATGTGTACCCTGGCAAAGGATCCATCACCCCGCATTGCAGCCCTTGGCCAGCGTGTCCTGTCCATTATCGGTATTGAGCAAGTGGTTGCAAAACCTGTCAAGCCTACTAGTGAATTTGCTGCAGCTCCTAGCACCAGTTTTGCTGGGCTGGCTCGATCATCTTCATGGTTTGACATGAATGGAGGTATCAATCATTGGGCAACAAATTTCACAAATTTTAGCAGTTTTGAACTTTTAATTAATGTGCGTTCTTTTGATCAATAATTTGGCACTTTGCTTGCCACTGTATGTTTAATGAGATTTCATTTGATTGCTTGCAGCCAGTCATCTGCCTTTAACATTCAGAACTCCTCCGGTTAGTCCTCCTCGTGCCAGTTACATGACGGGACTCCGGAGAGTTTGTTCACTCGAGTTTAGGCCACACTTGATGACCTCTCCAGACACTGGGTTGGCTGACCCACTTTTGGGCTCAAGCGGACCTTCTGGAACTTCTGAGCGCAGTTTTCTACCACAATCGACCATATATAGTTGGAGCTGTGGTCACTTCTCAAAGCCGCTTCTAACTGCGGCTGATGACAGTGAAGAGATGATTAGTAGAAGAGAAGGGAGAGAAAAGATGGCCCTTGACTTGATCACAAAATGCCAACACTCTTGTATGCCTCAAGTTTCCATAATATTTTTCAGTCTACCTTTTGCGACCAGTTTTTCTGCGAAAGTTGTGTTGCTTTTTCATAATTGATCTGAATCTGTTCTAAAATTTATCTTCCTTTATCAGGTGTGAGCAAGCTGCATAATCAAATTGCCAGTTGGGATACAAGATTTGAAACTGGTACCAAAACTGCCTTGTTGCAGCCATTCTCACCATTCGTGATTGCATCAGATGACAGTGAAAGGATCAGGTAAGGAATCAGATTTCACTCTCTTGAGGATGCTATGATATAATTGACCCAAAATTCAGTTAAGCATCTGCAACACCATGTATTCTACTTGACAGGAGATGATATATATATATATATATATATATATATATATATATATACATATAGAGGAAACTTCATGTCAGGCCGGCCTGACGGGCTGCCCCGTCCGGCCGAGCCCGTTTGGGCACCTTCCCGGTGGAATTTTTTGATGAAATTTTTTGAGCATGTTCCTCATCAAGTCTAGTTTGTCCATACCAAATTTCAGCTCAAAATTCGATCGGGAAGGTCGTCAAATGATTTTTGCAAGTTAACTGGTCCGGAATATGTATTTTCCGGACCAGTTAACTTGCAAAAATCATTTGACGACCTTCCCGATCGAATTTTGAGCTGAAATTTGGTATGGACAAACTAGACTTGACGAGGAACATGCTCAAAAAATTTCATCAAAAAATTCCACCGGGAAGGTGCCCAAACGGGCTCGGCCGGACGGGGCAGCCCGTCAGGCCGGCCTGATGAGAAGAGCCCTCTATATATATATATATATATATATATATATATATATATATATATATATATGAGAGAGAGAGAGGGGGGGGGTTCAAATACAAAGTAACCCTCATGAAAAAATGAGAAGTGATCATAGCCATTAAAATGAGAAAATAAGTAGATCAGATCAATTTTAAAGTGCAAAAAGCGATGGTAAGTGTAAATATCAGGAACTTTTTCAAAAAACAAGGTGATAAATGTGCTTCGCTATGGAGAAAAAGTGCATTTGACTAAAACAAAAGTGCACCGCTTTTCAAACTAAAATAACAACTATAGAAATCATTTTGTGATATTTTTCAATGAGGAGAATGTGCAGTCTTGCATATCACATATGCGCTTCTACTATTAAGTATTGCACTATTAGGTTAAGCATTTTGCACGGCAAATTTTTATCTATTCTGTCCATTTTTAAGTGATCAAGGGGTTAGATCATTTCTCACTTCTCACTTCTCCTGATAGTCCCGTTCCTATCAGGAGCTCCTGAAGAGAAGCCCCGTGCGGACAAGCCCATCAGAGGGTCTTCCCGGTGGAATTTTTTGATGAAATTTTTTGAGCATGTTCCTCATCAAGTCTAGTTTGTCCATACCAAATTTCAGCTCAAAATTCGATCGGGAAGGCAGTCAAATAAATCCTGGAAACATACTGCACTTTATATGTGCGCAGAATGAGCCATAGTTTTCCAGGATTTATTTGACTGCCTTCCTGATCAAATTTTGAGCTGAAATTTGGTATGGACAAACTAGACTTGATGAAGAACATGCTCAAAAAAATTTATCAAAAAATTCCACCGGGAAGACCCTCTGATGGGCTTGTCCGCACGGGGCTTCTCTTCAGGAGCTCCTGATGTGAACTGCCCTCTCTCTCTCTCTCTCTCTCTCTATATATATATATATATATATATATATATATATATATATATATATATATATATATAGTAGCGATCCTTTAAGGCCGCCGGCCTGAGGACTCGCCGTCCAGCCGAGGCCATTTGGGGCCCTTCCCGGTGGAATTTTTTGATGATTTTTTTTTGAGAATGTTCTTCATCAAGTCTAGTTTATCCCCAAAAAAATTCAGCTAAAAATTCAATCCGAAAGGTAGTTAAATAAATTCTCTACACAAAATGCGTTGTTTATATATAAAGCACAGTTTTGTAAAGAATTTATTTAACCGCCTTCCGGATTGAATTTTTAGCTTAAATATGGTTGGAATAAACTAGACTTAATAAAGAACATGCTCAAAAAAATTCATCAAAAATTCCACCAGGAAGGGCCCCAAATGGCCTTGGCCTGATGGCGGTTCCTGTTAGACTGGCCTTATACGATCTGCCCTATATATATATATATATATATATATATATATATATATATATAGAGGGCTCTTCTCATCAGGCCGGCCTGACGGGCTGCCCCGTCCGGCCGAGCCCGTTTGGGCACCTTCCCGGTGGAATTTTTTGATGAATTTTTTTGAGCATGTTCCTTATCAAGTTTAGTTTGTCCATACCAAATTTCAGCTCAAAATTCGATCGGGAAGGTCGTCAAATGATTTTTGCAAGTTAACTGGTCTGGAAAATACATATTCCGGACCAGTTAACTTGAAAAAATCATTTGACAACCTTCCCGATCGAATTTTGAGCTGAAATTTGGTATGGACAAACTAGACTTGATGAGGAACATGCTCAAAAAATTTCATCAAAAAATTCCACCGGGAAGGTGCCCAAACGGGCTCGGCCGGACGGGGCAGCCCGTCAGGCCGGCCTGACATGAAGTTTCCTCTATATATATATATATATTGTGTGTGTGTGTGTCGTGCGAAGCGAACAGATCTCTCTCCATAAGGAGATAAGTAATATTTAAAGATATGAAGTCTCCGATTAAAGGAACCTGTGTTTCTTGATCTCATATCTTATAGGAGTCGGGTTGAAGATTTTCTTTTAGGTGAAAGAATTCAGGATCCATAACTTAGAATTTGTATGTTTTAAACCATGTAATTTGATGTTAAGATAAGGGTATTCGAATGGATAAGAATGTTGTGTTTAATTTTTATTATTTGACTTCATTATTTTGCAAGCTCTATAAAATTGTGTATGGTTGTGCTAGGGTATGGAATTATGAAGAGGCAACCCTGCTGAATAGCTTTGATAACCACAGCTGCCCTGACAGAGGAATCTCAAAGCTGTGCTTTGTGAATGAACTTGATGAATGTTTGCTTCTTGTTGCCTCAAGTAATCCTAGTGCTCCTTGTAGTCTCTCCAGATCTAATGTTGAAACTGTCCAATGTTCAATAAGTGATGTTTGTACTCTCTTGCAGGTGATGGCAACATCCGCATCTGGAAGGATTATGCATCAAGAGGCCGGCAAAAGTTGGTCACCACATTTTCTTCAATTCAGGGTCACAGAGTGGGTATGCGTAATGTGAATGCTGTGGTTGATTGGCAGCAGCAATCTGGTTGCCTGGTAAATTCGCATCCACTCAAGTAGTAGAGTTAGAAGTTGATATATGCGTGTATATCTAGGATCTGATTAATAATGTTCCACCGTGTGACTAGATGCATTTACCTGATATGGTTAATTATTCTACATTACAGAAGCGAAATCAGTAGATTGATATGTGTTTGCACATGCATTCAGATGTTGCTTAACTTGTCATTTCTATTTTTATGTAACTTATTAATTGTTTCATCAGTTCGCATCCGGTGAAAGTTCATCAATATTAACTTGGGATTTGGACAAAGAGCAGCTTGTAAATACCATTCCGTCATCCTCTGAGTGTAGCATTTCTGCATTGGTTGGTACTTCATTGGTGTAACTGGATTTTTATTATCCATCAGTGGAATGGTTTAAAATTGATATCCTTAGTAGTGCAATTTATCTGTTTATTTTTTCATTTTGTTGGCCTTGTGCAGTCCGCTTCACAGGTTCATGGAGGTCAATTTGCAGCTGGTTTTGTGGATGGATCTGTTAGGCTCTTTGACATCCGAATGCCACACATGTAAGGCAAAGTTTATAGCTATTCCTTAATGTGCAATGTTATAGTGAACGATTTACACCTTTGTAATGACCTTAGTTTTGGCTATGAACATGCCTCATTCGTCCATTAGCTTTGTTGTAGTAATTTGGATATATGAGTAATCTACCGGTCAGGCCTTCCTGACCGGAACTGCCGTCCGGACAGCAGCTTTTGGGCCCCTTCCCGGAGGAATTGTTTGATGAAATTTTTATGCCATGTTATCCATCAAGTCTAGTTTATCCACAAAAAAAATCAGTTAAAAATTCAATCATGAAGGTCATCAAATGATTTTTGGAAGATAACTGCGCATAAAATATACATATAAAACACAGTTATCTTCCAAAAATCATTTGACGGCCTTCCCGATTGAATGTTTAGCTGATTTTTGTGTGTGGATAAACTAGACTTGATGGAGAACATGCCATAAAAATTTCATCAAAAAATTCCACCGGGAAGGCGGCCAAACGCCGCCGTCCGGACAGCAGTTCCTGTCCGGAATTCCGGACATGAACTTTTCTCTTGGATATATATATCTATGCAATTTGACAACAAATTACCAAAAATGTCATAAACTAGTTTACATAGGATATATTAAAATAAATTTTAAATATTGAAGTATTTTTCATTATAATAGTGTTATGTTAACAAGTGGTACATTAGCTGAACCCAGCTTTAGTATAGGTAGTTACACTGATGGACTTGCTTGTTACTGGTGATCCTCATTTATGCAGGCTTGTTGCTACAACTCAACCACATACCCAAAGAATAGAAAGAGTTGTAGGAATTGGCTTTCAACCTGGACTGCAACCAGCTAAGGTGAAAAATGTGAATCTGTTGCAGTATACTTGTATCTATTAGGTCTTGTTTTTTCAATATTTAATAGAGATTTGAAGCGGCAATATTTGTACTTGGCTTTTGTCAGATTGTGAGTGCATCTCAGGCTGGGGACATCCAATTTCTTGATGTGAGGAATGTGAAGGACGCATACCTAACAATTGACGCACATAGGGGATCACTGACGGCTCTAGCTGTTCATCGGCATGCACCACTCATAGCTAGTGGCTCAGCAAAGCAACTCATCAAGGTGTTCAACTTGGAGGGTGAGCAGTTAGGCACCATACGGTATCTATCCACTTTCATGGCACAAAAGATTGGGTCCGTGAGATCCCTGGCATTCCACCCGTATCAAGTCCTCCTTGCAGCCGGTGCTTCAGATTCTTGCGTCTCTCTGTATGCTGATGATGTCACTCTCCCAAGATGACATAAGCTTCCTAAACAGACCCCCAAGTTCGAGTTGACATTTGAATACCTATCAATCCATCTGACGATTAGGTTGTCGCCCCATTTGTGTATGTTGTCATATTCGTTGAGCCTCCCTTGACATACTCATCGAAGTTGGTTGGGTGTCTCGACCCTCATCTTCAGAGGCTTGTCTAATAATTTGATGCATAGGTAAAGAAAGATGTAAATATCTCCCCCATCTCCCACCCCCTCTGTTATTTAGTTCCTGTTGATTTAGTGTGTTGCTTTTATCATATTGAAACCCCGTTCACCTGTATAGATCAACTGGTCTGCACCTTATTTATATAATTTAATTTCATTCCTCATTATTGTGAACATTTCCCTTAATTTCATTACTCATTATTGTGAAAATTTCCTCTTCGCTTTACAGAATACATTATTTAATCTTTACCTGTAGCATCTAATTAATAAAAGCATCTCACTATCTCAGAATACATTATTTAATCTTTCCTCTTCAGTACTACTCGGCTAATAATATAAGCATTTTACAAGCATATCTTGGAAACATGCCAGAAACCAGATCAATCTTCTTAATAGGCAGTTCTTCCTCCAATCAAAATTAAAAACAAATCCAAGAGTTGCAGAAAGAAGGATTGCATTTCCATGTACACAGTACACATCACATATTGACAGTATCATATAAGGATAGACAGCCACCAGCCATTGTAAGAATATATATATATGGCTGATGGGATGAGTATGTGAGTTGTTCAGTTGAGACTTGAGAGTGATGCAATTATGTATGCTTTCCAGACATACGGGCCGAAGGGTTATTCGTCATCTTGAGTTTCTGGTTTTCATCACCGAAAACATTTAGATCTTCAAACAGCCTATATGAGGGAACAAATGTTTTCTGTGCATTTGCTGCTGGCTGGGGGGTTGATGAAATCCGTGCACCACCTGCATCGTTAGCATTGATTCCTCCGTCTGCTTGGACTGGATTTCCAATGTTGGCACTGACCGGAGGAGGAGTTGAGTGGGGGGTGTAAGTTGATCGGTTACTGCTCAAATAACCGGGAGTTGAAGCCCAAGGTGGAGGTGGGTAAGCACTAGCAGAGTAGTGAGAGTATAGATGATGAGGATCAGGTTGGGACTGGTGTGGCGGCGGCAGCTTAGCCCAAGGAGCTACATAGTTGTTGAAGGCTGCTGCCCCTGAATCGGCCTCTTGGTTGCCAATAGGAGAAAGGGGTGTATGGTGAACGTGATCTTGTTGAGTATGTGCTGCACGTGGTGGAGAAGATGCAGTTGTTGCCAAGGTTAAGCTCCCCAAGAGCTCGTTGATTATATCTTGTTCTTCCTCTTTTTTGGTTTTCACTGGTTCTGGCGGGTCACAAAGAACCAAAGCACTGCTGCTCATGTCTGCTGAATCTGAGAACACTGCCGTTCCATTCATCTGAACTTGAGCTGTTTTCGAACAATGCCTGCATTTATTTATTTCCCCCAGTATTGCAACAATCTTAAGCAGAAAGAAATGAAAGATTAAAGAGAACACAGGACCGGTTTTCCCCGTTTTTGACTGGCACCAGTCCAAAACAAGACCCGACCAGCTCCGTTTTTGTCAAATATAAGAGCGGGGCTGTCCAGTCTTTTGCACGGAGAATGACCAGTTGGTCCTGGATAAGAAAGGACTGGTTTCAATTTTAAAAAGGCTAAAAAGCCAGATCAGAATTGGCTGGGGCCATCCCTACATAAAACTCTGTAGCATACCTTCTAGCCAACTGAGCGAAGTCATCGTCTTCTTCTTCTTCTTCGTCTAAAATAGGTATGGGGGGTTGGGCAACAAGATCATAAGAGGGTTGTTTAGTGTCAGGTGCAGTCGCAGCCGCAGCATTTTCTGCTACTTTTGGGGTGGCAGGCTCCGGTGATGATGGCTGATGATTAATGGTGGCTGAGACTGAGCTTGGGAATGCACTGGCACCAGAAGCAATGGCATCATGTTTTGCAAGCACACTTTGTAGACTATCATTCAATTCCAGACCCTGTGCTAGAAGCTTTTCATCCCTAATATCGTGGATTTATATTTCATTTACAATCATGGATTAATATTTCATTTCCAAAAAAGGACAAAATAACTTAGATGCTCTATGGATTCCAATTTCATACCCAGAACTAATTCACTCCAGATTTTTTCTAAATACTAGTACGTACAAAATAAAGATCAAATTTGCACTTAATTGTGAACAGGGCAAGACAGACTATTTAGTCTGGGGAAGAACTCAAACAAAAGTCCAATTCTTTAGTTGGACATACGTGTGTTCACTCCATGGAAACAGCTGATTTTTACACCAAAAAAGATAAAACATGTATGCCAAGTGAATGTGCTCTTACTGTACTTTTTGGTTTGTATTTAGTTTTTCAAAACATAAATATACAGTTGTCAAATATTTTATACTTTTAGTGTACAGTAAAATTTACTAAAAATGAATCAAAGGTCAAAAAGGTAAGCAGTAGCCAGTACCTCTATGTTTTATCATCTTAGAATATCAACTTTGCTAAAGTTGACAGCTTTGACAAAATTGCTAAATTCGACAGGATTCTTAAACCAGGAAAGAGAGAACTTACCCGGTTGTAGTCAACATCTGCATTAGTTTTTTTTGACTGGCACGGCAGCGGTCAACAAGATCAACTATAACTTCATTTTTCACACCCTAAACAAGAAATGTAAAAGAAACTCAGGACCTAATGGATCAGCTGATTAAAAAACAGAGTATGTTATATTATTTCCATTATTATCTTTTGTAATCCAAACAGGAGATATCATCATCATCATCATCATCATCATCATGTTTTACAATTCCCTCCCTTTGTCTCCTTGCCTAAAACTTATTCAAATCCAAACGGAGTCATTGTTTACCCCCTCAATTACAATCGAGACGTTACCAACCTCCCCTCTCAATCCGAACACAATGGAAGTGGAATTAGTTATACTAGAGAGAGAGAGAGTGCACATACTGTACGATCACCAGGATTCACAGCTTGCAGCATGTCAGCCAAGAGATGAACAACATCCCCCATTGAGCTAATGGTTGATAAACTGCCCAATCATAAGGATAACCAATGTGTTACAATTTACAAAATACAGATCGTCGAAATACACACACTAGAACTAATTCTCACCTCAAACTTTCCATCTCAGCTTCCATGGCTTCATCAAGTCTTGTTGAAGAATTGCTTGGCATTCCATAACCTGGTTGATGCTGTCTAGGTGGAGTAAGAATTGGAGCCGCGTCATAAGTGCGCTGAGGAAATTGTACACCAGAACGCTGCCACAAATCATAATACATTACTACCCCTAAAATAGGACTTATTTAATCCTATTACAAGAATAAAAGAATAAAAACGTTTCTAAATAGGAGGGCATGAGTCCTGTTTTGGGAAGAAAACAATGTAACTCCTATTTGAGAAAATATAATTGTTTTAGTCTTATTTAGGGGATTTTCCCCTTACGTTTCCTTTGATCTGAAAAGAAGAATGAAATATAGTTTTTTACAAATATTTAAAATTCCAAGTACTTATAATAGACATATATAAATATAAGATGGGTACCAACCAATGCCAACTAAAAATCTATTTATTTTAACATATCTTTTACTATCTGTTCTTTCCTTCCATTGTTTCTCTATTTTTATTTTCCTACTTTAGTCCCCTAGTACTTTCCAGGTTCCAAACAGACCCCAAGTGTTTCCTGATGATATATCATACATTAATACGCAACATACACAACTTGTGATTAAAGATAATAGTATATCACAAATAAATCATCAATAACTTACCCTGAGTTCATCATACGCCCAATAATACTGAGTATATTTCCCTCCTGGACCACCAAACGCTTCTTGCCAAGAGTCTAGTAGGCCAAGGATTTTATCTCTCACATGCATATCAGTCTGAATGTATATCAAGATTTGAAAGATGAAATTTTGATTGGCCATAAAGCAAAGAGTAAAGGAAGAATTAACGCAACAAGGTACATATAACACCCTCCCTCCACCCCACCCCACCCAAATGCCAAAAAAAATATTAAACCCACTCATAAAAATGTGCAAAACCCCAAAAATACCTATTTAGTTTAAAATGGTTAAGAAAAGTTGCAAGTATTGCTAAAGTCTATTAATGACAAAGAAACAGGAGATATTTTTAAAAAACCAGCCCCAAAGAATTTCACAGGAAAACAAAAATGTTGTAATAACCCTCAAATTAAGATCCTATTAAGCATCAAAATGAAACTTGCCTTCTTCTTTACAGTTTTGACCATATCTTGCGGTATATTTCTCTCTGCAATTTGAAAGTGCACAATATCGCCACAGTTTTTCACCATTGTCTCTAGAAGCTAAGGAAAAGACAAAGAGGAAAATTCATACGGAATGAATCCCTTTAAAGATACAAAGCAAATTAAACCCAAGTATAAAAAATTGACAAGAAATGTTTCCAAATAATAAGTACCGTTAAAGAAAGTAGCTGCACTGTAGGATTCTTGTGCTGCAGCCTTTTCTTCAAAGTTTTCACAACATCTTTGGCTAACCTGAATTTAGCAGCAAGAGAGAGATTGCAGTTTACTACTTGTACTTCAGTAAAATACACACAAATGACAAAAACCAGAAATACATCATAGACATAACATCATAACAGCAAGAATTATGGATTTAATTATAAGTCCTGAGGTTTTTAAGAAAATCAATAGCTAATGATCGCTTGTTTCTCTATCTTTTGTCGAAGTCACTCAAAGAAACACAGAACAATGATAAAGAGGAAATGATCACTGTTTTGAAATAAATTATGGAAAGCATAATCATAAGAACAGAAACCCCTTTCCCCCATCAACTTCAAGCAACAGTTCATGCAAAACCAACTACGAAAATCCAATACTAGTTATTCAGATACACTTATGCAAAAACCATTCCAATGAATTATGTTTGTAATCTTGTGGAGCTAACTGCCAGAATAACGAAAGGGAAAAAAGTCAACTTTATCCCCATAGATATAAAGTAAGGAACTTTGAAGAGGAAAAGAAAGGAAGGGAAAATACCAATGGTTGGAATTGATGGTATCACAAATATCAATATTCAAAGTCCAATCAGGACCGATCAGTAGCTCGCTTGTGGCCTTCTCCACTCGAACCACCACTGACGACGCCGGAGAAGTCGTAGACGAAGAAGAAGACGGTGTCGCAAAGGATGATATCATCTTCCCAAGCCTCTCCCTACCGAAAATCGCTACAGCAAAGCTCAGTTCTACACTTCCACAACTTGTATCTCTTGGTCTTGTGATTCCTTTTTGTGTTCTTGGTTCTTATTTTGTCTGAAAATTTTTGGGGAATCGTTTTCTTTCCCCCAAGAAAGTTTCCCCTAGTTTCTTGTTAGGCTATGAGAGCTTTCTGTGATGTTTCTTCCTTCCATAAGCACTTTGCCTTTTGGACTAATATTTTTTCCTGTTATTTCCTTTATAGGATATTTCGTAACCTTTTGTCTTTCTTGTTTTTAAGTTATGCCTGCTTTATCAATCCAGCACAATTACCATGATCAAGTGAGAATTTATTAATTTAATACGTAGTACCTAATAAATTGAAACATTTGCGACTCAGGCTAGTGGGGGCGTTTATGGTTGTTCATTTCACATACTTGTCACTTTTTTAAAAAATATTATAAAGATGTAGGATTTGACAAATGTTGCATTATTGTGTTTTATTTGTATAATTTTTTTTTGAAACTGTTTTTTTTTTTGTATAATTAGATAATCAAAAACTAATTTCTCAAATTTGGACATGTAGTTTTTAACTTATTTTCTAAACCGAGCAGCCGCTCCGCTCTAGGGTTCAAGAATGCGGCCGCCCTTGCACTTTAGCATGAGATTTTTGTTCTCACTATTTTGGTTTATGGCGACGCAACAGTCAAGCGACACATTGCATCATTGTTGTTGGAATTGGGGTTGCACTATTGCAGCGGAGGCGGCAACGATACCAACTAGGGCTAGGTCCGAAAAACCAAAAACCGAAAACCGAATCAAATCATACCGAACCGTAACCAAATAAAACCGAACCGCTAATAAACTGAAATCGAATGTAAAAAACCGAACCGAACCGTAGTTGTTTGGTTCGGTTTTGATTTTTACTCTTCAAAACCGAACAAACCGAACTAATTAAAATATAAAATTTATTTCTCAATTGTTAAGCATTAATCCTAACAAATCCTAATATCATTATTAGTCTTTGGTTTTCTTGTGCTAGAGAAATAATATAATGTTTGTGTTATGTTTAGTTTAGTTTATAAATTCATTTACACATTCATTGTCCGTAATAATGTAGCTATACGGAATGATGATAATATGTTTTTGCTAGTTATTAGTATTAATTAACTTTTATTTTTATTTAACTTAAAGAATTCATATTGATGAAACAATAAATATTCATCTCAACTATATCACATAGAACGTATATAACTTACTCATGATTTTTTTTTGAACTAGTCACAAACAATGTAGATTAATAATATATACTTTTATCTCTCTCGTATACTCATATAATTCAAGACATATTTATTTATTTTCATTTTTATTTTATTTGTTGTAGTGTGCTTGCATTCTTTATGTAATACTATGTATATGTTTGATCCCTCAAAGTGTTATAACAATTTTAAATCAAATGATAATTTTTTGGCAAAAAACCGAAAAAACCGAAACCGAATCGAAACAAACCGAACCAATCAAACCGTGGTTCCAAGTTTTGAAGTGTAAAACCGAACCGAAATCGAACCGAACTTTTTACTTTGGTTCTATATTTGGTTTTAGGTCAAAACCGAACCGCAAGAACCGAACTCACCCCTAATACCAACGTAAAAGTTGTCTTCTCCCTAGCTTTTGTCTAGGATTTGTCTTTCTAGCAAGTGGCTTGCGGCGTTTCTTGTCCGGTGAATGATTTGGAGTGTAAGTGGGCGGACAGTTGTCATCGCGTTCTGTCTATATCCATGATCTGCTTCTCTATGGTTGATGTTTCTGGATCTGTTGTTATGGATCGAATCTGGAGGTCTATGATTGATACTTTCGATTGAAAATTTGCCTGGCAATTTTTTATTCGACTTCTGAGCAAGGGAGAAGATAGATTGGCGGATCGCCCACCTCCTGAACCGCCGCCTTGGAGCGACCGAGGTGATAGAGTTTGGAAAAGAAGAAATTCCACTTTTGGTCCTCCGAGTTTTGCACCAATTCCACAATTAGTCCACGTCTTTCACTTTATCCATTTTTGGTACCTGACTATTGTTTTCTTGACCATATATAGTCCTTTTCCTGTAGTAAAAATGCCCAGAAATGGACTGAAAATGGTTAAGAAAACAATAGTTAGGTACCAAAAATGGATAAAGTGAAAAATAAGGACTAACTATGGAAGTGACACAAAACTCGGAGGACCTAAAGTGGAATTAACTCGTTTGGAAAATGATACTTCGAGAATATTGGCAGGAAGGAGCATAGAGTATTTGTCATCTGTTTTATTTTTTATGGTCTTATTTTCACGTTAAGTTTGTTTATTGCTCTGTTTTTTGTTGATGTCTTTAGTTTTATGTCTACAATAAGGAATGACAATTCTGCTAGATATTATGTCGTTAGAATGATCTATATGACCAGTGATTGTTGTGTCAAACTCGCTTGGTGGTTAGCGATTCGTATTGCTCTTTCAGGGGTGATCGTCTTTGAGTCTAGCCGTAGAGTTGATAGTGCTAATTGGTTAGGGATACTTGTTGTCAGAGTTGATCTTTGTGAGTTTGTTGTAACGATCCGAGTTCTAACGATATTAATGTAAACAGTTTGTTTTGATGATAAAAAAAACTTATTTTCTAAACAAGTATAATTTCATTTCTATCCATGGTTGATGCCATCACAATTATAGTAAATTGATTGTACATATCATCTTTGACTTGCTATATAAAATAATTTGACACCTCGAGTATAATTAACATAAGGCCTCCCTGAAGAATCACGGGCTATTTTGAATTGGAGATCTCTCTAATTGATATGTAACTTTAATCCGATATACTTAATAAGCTAAAAGCTGTCTCTTTAGATAACATGTTGATCTTTTGGCAAAGCTATAAGCTAATTGTTTTTTCGTGAAGGAAACTTTGAGATCACATTACCTTTCAATAGACATTTGGACTTTTCAATTGTTCCATGTTCCGAAACTGTTAATATGGCATTTATTGTTAGAAATGCCTTAATCTTAGATGCTTATGGTTTATCACGATTTTGTGATTTTCACGGCTGAGGTCTAGTCTCCTCATCTTTTGTATTACGCTTCTTTTAATAAAATTGATAAATGTTCCTCATCATCTACCTTATGGATTGATGGTTTGCCACCGTGTCCAAAAAAACACCATCATTACATTGCTAGAAATGAGAAATCCAAAACATTGCTAGATCTCTTAGGATAGGACTCGATGTCAAAGTGTATTTTAATTAAGTGACGAGCCAATAGATGATTAGAGTTTTAGCATCTTCTCCTCTCCTCCTCCAATTATTTAATTCTAATAATTTGATTTTGTATGTACTATATCAAATTAAAACATATTAACAATTACAATCTTCAACTCAGTTCATTGATTGTACAAAAAGTGACATCTATGGTAAGTTAATAAAATGATTTTTTCTTAAATACCATTCAACTAGGACTTGTAAAAAATGTGACTAAAGCCCTAGAAGTATACCATCTTGTCACTATGGTGTTAAATACTTAAATATATAATCACAATGACTATAGTTATATATTATTGTAATCACTTCAACTCTTAATTTAATTATATCATTCATCATTATTTCTAATTAGAATAGAGATGCAGTTCATTCCCTCATGATTGGCCTGCCAATTGATTAGGGCAGGTGAATTGGACTTTGAGTAAAATATGGTTCACAAAGGAGTGTTTTTTAAAGAGATTCACAAAGGAGTGTGATAACTCATAACTCGGCGCATCTTTTAATAAATTAAATTAAAAAATTAGTGATTGTGTTATTTCAAAATTTTATAATTGCATTTATAACTGGTGCTGTCTGGTGGCATATTTTATCATCAGACTGTGATGACTTAAATCGTTGGGGTCCTAACTTTTCAGTTCACCAAATAGCCAGCATTCATATCTTAACTGGCCTCTCATGTAGTGATGCATTGTTGAGACATGATCAATACAAGTTGAAATCCGCACACTTAAACTAGAAGTGAGACCACTCCTACTATGATGGAGATTGGAGAAAGAGATAAAACCATTTTTTTTAGATTGGAGAAAGAGATGGACCATATATATCCCCATTGGCAATAATTAAAACCATTTATAGTCACATTTATCATATAAAATTATCTCTCAATAGTACATACTCCCTCCAAAAATTGTATTTTGTACCTAGTCATATTATCATATAAAATTATCTCAATTTCTGTTTGATCATTTTAATACGTGTCGTAACTTTTCCTTTAAGAAAATAACATATACGAGTACTTTATTACAACGGCGGAGCTAGGAACTGCGCCGACTGGATTAGTACAAATAATATTTTAGAAAAATAGTACAACGAAATATTTTACTTTGAAAATTAAAACATTTTTTAAATTTGGGGTTGGCCAGGGTCTAAGTTTGCCCTCCCCTAGATCTGCTCATGCTTTATTACAATCTCTTGTCCATAAATGATAAAAACAACTCGGGATGGAAAGAGTGTATTTTATCGAAAAAATCATTTAAATCTTTTTAAATCGCATAAAATGTCAATTATCTTTTTTATTTATTTCAATTTTAAAGTTCAATTGTTCCACATTAAAATGTCAATTATCTTTTTTATTTTATTTCAATTTTAAGGTTCAATTGTTCCACATTATAATATGGCAATATGACCACCTAAACCTTTTTTATTGGCAAGTACAACTTTCGTATAAAATCATGATAGCAGTAGAAATATTCATCATGTTTTTCAAATGGAAAGCACAAGTCTTACAGAGAAATCAAACAAGGAATTAATAAAATGAACAATCAATCTAGCAATAGGCAGCATTATTATATTGTCAGATATGAGGCAATGAATAATCCATCACTCTTTGCCATTTTTCTTCACTTCTGCACCTCCAAGTGCTCCCACTTTAGCTTTTTCGTTAGTAACTCTTAGGGTGTCTAAGGGTGTGGTCTGTTACAGACCCTTACACATGAGTCCCATTTTTTATCTCACAATTTTTATATGTAGGATCCACGTATTTCCTAATTTATTTTCATTTTCATTTTTCTATATCACTTTTAACCCATTTTTGATCAACTTTTCCTCCTCGAATCTCATGTAATGTCTATATATGGACCTTGTCATAGACCTTGGTCCATTTTTACCTCTATTTCTCTCCTCTTTTTCATTTTTCCCTACACACCACTTCATCCAAATATTTTCATTGCAATTGGGAAGGCAGTAAAATGAATTCTTGAAGATAACTGCGCAGTTAATTAAACAGCGCAGTATATTTCAGAAATTATTTGACTGCCTTCCCGGTTGAACTTTTAGCTGAACTTTGGTATAGTCAAACTAGACTTAATGAAGAAGGTGCTCAAAAAAATTCATCAAAAAAATCCACCGGTAACCTCCCCAAATGACGACGGCCGGACAGAGCCTCCTATATAAGGAGTGATTTGCACATTTTTGGTTAGTACGAGAGATTATTTGCCCCTTTTCCCTTTAAACAATGATCCAAACTCACAAATTTCAAAATTCTGCTAACAATATTCTTATTTAATTGAAATAGTCTAACTTTTACTTTTATCAATACAAGACTTTTTAATGGCAAAATTACAGAAAAATCATATTATGTTAACTAACTTTGAGACAATTAAGAATATTGTGATCCTTTTTTGCTCTTCCCGTTCACACCCTACTTGAAGAATATTAACAAGGCGTGTGCATTACAAGAGTAAATTTTTCCTGAAAATTGGTGAGAGTTACTTTATAATCACCAACAAATTACCACTAGAAAATTGCCAAAACAGAAAATCTTCAGAATGAACATCTAAAGTGTGTTTCAACCGCCATAAATAAATTTCATGTTGCAAGCTCACAAAATAAATGAAGATTAAAACTTTACACATTAAAACTTTACACATAAAGTGATTGCATGTAAAGTTTAGGACCGTAAAGTAGTTTGCATGTAAAATAAAAAAATATCGTTTGGCTATGTGTGTGATCTATTTTTAAATTATGCGTAAACTTTTTACATTTTTTGTTGTAAAATAAGCTAGAGAACTAGCTTCTAATTGATGTTTGGCCTCCAACCTTTAAATTGAACTTTACAAGTATTCAATACTACTTCATATAAAAATTCATCTATATATATATATATTGAAAAATCAAACAAATACTCTGTATATGATGACCAAAAATATCAAAGTTGTCCGATACAATATTAGACAATTACAAATTAAAAAAATCTTATCACAATCACAGAATCATTTTCTCAAATTAACATAAAACTCCAAATCATATATTTGATCAACCGAAGCAGTTCTCAAAACTAAACAGAATATAGGTACAGTGTTTTGATTAACCCAAGCAGTTCTAAACGATTCTATTTAGAAGTGAAATCTTCCGAGTACAGCCGGCCGTCTAGGTCTCAATCGCAATGACACAAACTAATGTTCCATATATTTATTATAGCTACGATAAATGGATGTAAAATAGTTTACAATCATCCCTTATGTAAAATATTGAGAAAAGTGTCAAATAGGCCCCCTACTAATACGAAAAAATCGATTAAGCCCCCGAACTCAAAAAACACCCAATTAAACCCACGAAATATAAAAAACGAGGCAAAATAGTCCTTTTAGCATGTAATTAACCGGTTCCCGGTTCCATTAGTCCACGTGTCGTACACGTGTCGCCACGTGTTGCCATTTGTGGCCACCTATTGGCTATTGCCACGTGTAAAAGTTTACTTGGAATCGGTTAATTACATGCTAAAAGGACCGTTTTGCCTCGTTTTTTATAGTTTGTGGGTTTAATTGGGTGTTTTTTGAGTTCGGGGGCTTAATTGACTTTTCCGTATTAGTAGTGGTGGCCTATTTGACAGTTTTCCCTAAAATATTTTACATGGTACGGTGTTAAATGTGTTTTAAAAAGTGTCCTACAGTTTATACTCCGTATTAAATAGTTAAAATAAACGGTGTAAAATGTTTACCCCCCACACTTTACATGCAAAATGTTTACTTTACATCGAAAACAAACGGCCCTATGTTTGATATGATGTAATGCAATGCAATGAAATGAAGTGCGTAATGCAATACAAAATGTAATGTAATGTAATGGAGTCTCTCTTCCATTACTATGTTTGGTTACTTAAGTAACACCAACTTCGAATGGTAATCAACATTACATAATTATGCTTGATTATCTACATGCATAATTAGACTATATAATCAATTGTTTGCATTTTAAAGATAATCGCTGATACATTAAAATGATTGTCTATTGAACATCATTCATTCGTGAATCGTTGAACTATATATATAGTCACCACTAAGCTTCAGTTCAAAGATTTACGACCATTGCAAAACTTTCGCATTTTTTGTAATCTCAAATACGTGGTATTAGGGGTAGACTGGGACGGGTCGGTCCGACCCGGGACCCGGCCTGATACTATGCAAGCCTGACCGGACCAGGCGGACGGTACCAGGACCAGGAGTGGGGGCCTGAACCGGGCGTAAATGGGGCGGGCTATAGGCTGCTGAAAAGGTCTGGGACCAGTCCAGGCCCAATTTATTTATTTTTTCAATTTTTTCCCATTTATTGGCTGCTAGGTGGGTGGGGCTGGGTGGTTTGGAGGGTGTGGGGGTAGGAATAAATTCATAAAGACAATTTTTTTAAAAAAAATGTGCCCGACCCAGCCTGGCCTGGGCCGGGTAAAAAACTTGGGCTGGTACCAAGCCTGCAACTTAAACTTTTAGTCCCACCCAATCCCGTCCTGGGGCCCGTCCCGGCCCCGGCCCACCCCTACGTGGTATAAGTTGTAATCTCAAATACACATCTTGTTTAATGTAATGCTTATTACACACATCAAAGTAATGAGTTCCACATATGCAATGACCATTACATTACGGTTTAAAATATGTAATGCTCTCATTACATTACATTCTTGCTATTCAAGTAAGAAGTTTGATGCTTACCCTAGAAAGATGAATGTGCCATATAAAGAGTATGAATTCATTTTTTCTTCTTTTGGCCGGAACACTTGCTACTATTTCTGCTGTAATTCAAATATGTGCTATAGTGAAAAATTAATTGAAAGTTATGTTTTTTTTTTTTCATTTTTTGTGTCACGACCATTCTCTCTCTTCCTTATAAACAAACCCTGAGTACATATATATCTAGATAATAAACTACTTGATAGGATTTGATAAAATGGTGAATGAGACAGTTTTAATCTAAATAAAATCTGCCACTTCCCTCTTATTACACTCAACCTGACCTAATTGGTTATATATGGAAAAGATATTAGTCTTCACACCTCCATCCCCCCCCCCCCCCCCCCAAACACAAATAAAAAGTAAAACCAAATACAATAGAATACTGTTTAATTTACAACAAATTTTAAAACAAATGTTTCTATCATCTCATGCATATATTTCAATATGTAAATGCAGAACTATCTGACCCCACAACTTCACTTGCAGGGAGAAAGCAGCAAGCAAGAATTTGGCAATAAAAGAGTTTTTTCATGAAGTTTTATGATCACATAGACAGTAAATAGGGAAGAACCACTACTCTGAACTTTATGAGAACTACTTCAAATATTTCTATAAAAAAAATCCAGTGTTTTGGAACAACTAAGAACTCAAAAGAAAGTGACCAGCTTTTGGTCATGTTGTTAACAGAAGATATATAAGGCCCTTAAGATACTCAACTATTTCTGAACCACCCAACTTGGAGCTCCCAAATACTCTATCAACAAAAGTAATGGGAACCTGTAGCAGATGGAAAAACAGAATTAGGCCTTCATCTAAACACCTAAAAGAAACAATAAAATTTTCTACAATTAACTAACTATTCAATGTAGCCAGAATCAACTGATCAACACGAGTTAACTATGAGGACAAGGATGATTGAACTACCTCTTCAATATGATAATGTTTTCTTGAAGCTCGGACAATCATCTCCATTTGAAAAACATAGCCTTTGCTGACACACGAGCTTATGATGTCTTTAAGCACTGACTTCCGGTAGAGCCTTCAAAGTTGTGGAAGAGCGGTTGTCAGTTTATGATAATTTTTTTTTTTGAGGAAGTTTATGATAATTTTTTTAAAAAGGCCAGATTGGGAAAAATAAGCACCCTTGACACAACAAAAAAGCTAGGCTTGATATGATTGACTTGACCACATGTTTTTACAGGAACTCAGGAAGAAAGGACTAATTCATTTTGTTGATATTTACGCCCCTAATTTAGCAGAACCATGGTTTAGATTGAAGGGGGAAATTTTGATTTTATTTTTCTTTCTTTTTTGGTAAAGTGCCCAAAATGAACTTTCAACAATATTATAAAAAACAATTGACCTTGAACTATCCAGGTGCCTACTTAGCCAGTTAGCCCCTAAACTAAATACAATAACTCAAATATGACATTGCAAAAAATTCTAATTAATTTTAGACTTGTGTATCAATACATGAAACACAATTAGGCACATGAAGAAAGCTAAACGGGACAATAAGATCACTTGCAATGACAAAAAAACACATTAAATCCAAAATATCAGCCCAAATCATATTATTCATTTGAATATACAATGTGTTTTCTACCTTTTCAACTGATTTCTCATTACTTACAGTTTTTATCAAGACTTTTTTAACGTTCGGGTTTATTAATGAGTCACTCAAGTCCGTTTAATGTCTACATGAGACATCTGAAGAATTCATAGTCAATCAAATTTTTTTTTGGAAGTTCAAGGTCACCTATTCAGCATTTGACTTTCTTTACATTCATGACATAGTCGGCTATCTTATAAAACTGTATTATTTATAATAAAAAAAGGTTACCGAAATGATCCAGTTAGGTCTGATACTCCTGGCCATAGAAGTGTCTGTGCAAGGACATTTGCTCCTCTACTTGTCAATTTGCGCATTAGGTTCCACCCATGAACACCACCTGGCATAACATAGCGGGTCCCAGTGACGATATCGGCACCCGTCTCGATTTGTTTCCTGAATTTCATGAAACAACAGAATTACGCCTGAGGAAAACTATCTACCAAACAAAAAGAAAAACAAAAAGGTTTATAGTGTTCATCAATAAACATACACTTACTTTATAAATCTTGGCAGGTACTTAGGCTGCAACAAAGAAGTGAAACCAAAATAAATGCTTCAGATATACAAACCCAAGCAGAACTGTGGATCAATGTACTTAGCTGGTAGCATGTGCGAACAAAGAGCTAAGTGCCCCAGTATGAAAAATAGTGCGTAAAATCATAGGAGGTGTTCGGTAACATGTTTTCCATAGTAGAAAATACGATGTAGAAAACAGAGGAATGCAAACCTAGTGCTCAGAAAGTAGATAACTCAAAATCTGAAAACCGAAGGCCATAAATAGAAGCAAAGGCATCCCTAATGTTTCTCAACAAGCATGTAGAACTTGGAAATTATGGAATGCATTCATGACATTACATTAAAAAAAATGTCAATGTGCTTACGTGGTGGGATAGATCAGCATCCATAATGACAACAAAGTCTCCAGATGCATACTTCAAACCATGAATATAGGCAGTACCTGAATGACAATACAATTAAGGACTGTTTAAAAAATTATGTTAGCTGGGAAAAGCATAGGTAAATAGTCTAAATACCTAAACCAAGCTTAGCAGATCGAGACCTCAAAAGCTGCACGACCAATGGGGAGGAAGTAAAAGGCTTTTAGCAATTTCTATGTATAGGTAAGAAATAAATTACGTAGGTTTGAGTTATAAAAATCACTAACAATGCGATCTTCCCCGTACACCTGCTGCAATTGTTCAACAATGTCTTGAGTTCCATCAGGACTTCCATCATCCACCACTATAATTTCAAAGTCGACATCCCTACCAAGACAACAACAAAGAGACTCTTAAGTCTTAACATTCTACAGTTGGACTTTACAAATATATAAAATATTTCACACATTAAAGTTTAAGAACAAACAAGTTAAAACATGCATAAACCAAATAAAAATTGTCATTAAGTTTGCAAGTCATGATAAAAGTGACTAAGAAAAGTGTGAGATAACATAAAAGCATACACCCACTCCGTCCCAGAAAAGAGTTGTGCTTCTAAAACCTTTTTTGTCTCCAGAACAAGGCATGTTTTATCCACAGAGATGTCCCAGAAGCTAAATTGTTCATGTAATTTCTCAAAATACAATAATAAGCAAGTTAAATAATTTAAATTTTACTACGGTGTTAACCCATAAATAAGTACTCAAGAATACAACTATATAAGTAGGAGTCATGACTTTTAACAGCTATTACTTTTTCCAAAATTAAGAAGTTACACATTTGTAAGGCTTGGCTCTATACTTGGGATGGATGAGTGAATAAACTTTAATGAACACATTATAAATCAGCTTCATCTGATCAACTTTCAAAATGCCTAGATAGCACACGACATGTGAATCCATATATGACTAAAGAGCCACAAGATGAGACACCACAGAATCTCATACAAGAAAGGTGAAAAGCTTTAGGTATACGAAGAACAAAATTATTATTCGTGAAAGACGAATGAGCTAGAGAAAGAGCAAGATCACTAGAAATTTTCGAATTAGAAATCCATAATTAGCTTCTGAACTATAAGAACGATTAAAGTAACTCAATACATGAAGCTATTAGCATCCGGGTAAATATGGTGAGGGGAAAGAACATTACTTGACATGCTTGAAAAGGAGGAAAATGACGAGGGCGATGTTGAGTCGTTCGTTGTATGTTGGGATAATTATACTGTACCTGGCCTTCTCCCCCATTGATCTACTCAATTCAACCTGTGATTTCAGATACGTAAAGAAAGAATGTGAAAAAGCAGTGAAAAGATGTTCTCCTAATTAACAAAACATTTAATAAATTTTATAATAAACTAGTTTTGCAACGCGCGTTGCGGGATTAGCTAAATGCCCAATATTTTTTACTAGATGTAAACATTTGGTTTAATTCTTAGCTAGTGCAAGTGATAGAGAAATTGTATATGGAATTAATTCTTGTAGTCTAGTAATTGACAAAAATATATGCAAACAAAAAATGATCATATACAAAAAAGTTAATGGGGTTAGAATCAGGGACATAAGTGATGTTGTAATAATAATGATAAAATGCAAAAAGAAACACATTTTTGATACAAATCTATGTATAAATTCAGTGGCAGATCTTTGTTTAAAAGTGTGAACACACATTTAAAAGTGTGCTCTTGCATACTCTACCGGCTCCTCAAACATGCCTCATAAATTCAATTCTTAAGTTTTAGATACACACAATAACATCTCCATTGTAATTGACAAGAATATATCCCTTGCAACCTCTAGAGTCTCTTGGGCTTCTTGTTAATCTAAAAGCAAAATGGGACAAGAAACTTTTACATTTAAATATTGTAAATTTGGAAATAAATCTAAGATATAAATTATCAGAGTTTAGTAACTAACCTTGTACCGTTAAGAGATTGGGTCTTCTTATAGGTGTCTTGAACTGTTTTTTTCCATTAACTGTATTTAGCAAGAAATTTTATGCTAACATGACTAAGTATAAATGCTCTTGCCCGTTGTTCACCTTAGATGATGAGGACTAACTCAAGAAAGATTAGGAGCAATGTACCGACAGAGCAATGTAGCTAGGTGTGGACACGGTCCAGTTCTAGGTCGTTTTCAATCTCGGACCAGCCAGTCCCCTGAAGAAAAATATGGAAATTGGGACCAAGACCTATATTTTAAATCCTCCGCCCCCGCCAGCCCTGATTCAGTTTGTTATGCTTGTTTTGTTTTATAATCTTACACCCTCTATAGTCATCACCCTCACTACCCTTTTTTAGCATTTACATGTCACACCATCCCTTCTGAAATGCTTCTTGATGGTTCAAATGCAAAAAAAGGGGGACCGAAATCGAGGCCAGACTGGCTGGTCTAAAAAAGGCTCGAGATCGTAACGTCTTTCTCGCCACTCAAGACAGTCCAAAATGTCATTTGTGCTGAATCTGATTATGTGGAACCAAATGGTATTCCATAGAACCAAATGTCATTTGTACTGAATCTCTGGGTAGGCATCTCAAAGAAGCTATATGGCTTTATATCAAGCCAATGAGCTAATCCAGAGGAGCAACTCATACACACATTCTTATCAAGCGAAAGAAGGATTCTTTAACCAATCCAAATCAGAACTCTAAATTTGTGATCTTAAGGCTCATAGGAAAGTGTTATATATAATAACTAAAGGCAGTAAAGTTATGAGTCGTCTTCTTTTGATAAAAATGCCGAGTAAAATGACATACCTTTCACACGGAACAATGCCTGCACTATTTTTTTTGCAATCCGTTCAGCCTTCAACAAAAAACAAGATAAAGAGAGTTAGTTACATAAAGTTCTGGCATGAGGGCATATTTGCCATAAACATATTGAGAATAGCTCCAGCATTTTGTATTGTTGTTTTTTTATCCCAAATAATAGAAAATCAACACCAACCTTAAAATTACACTCATAAAGTGTTAATTGATATCTAATGCAGCCCCATGATTTTTGTTCTAAAACATTTCAAAATAAATCATACTTTATGTCTAAAAGTCTATTTATAATGCCAACAACCACCCTAATGTTAATGTCAAGCCAAAACTATTAATTTCATTTTGCCAAATCATAATACACGGAGTTAAGGTGTTCGAAAATATAATAACCTTAAGTTCTAACGTCATATATAGTGACTAATACTTGCCTAGGAATCTAGGCACATATATACAATTTATGGATATTTATTTTTGTAAATAAAGTCTTACATAACACCATCAGAAATAATTAAGAAATAATTCATCATGCTTCACACCCTATCTCCTATTAAACCACATTCAAAATTTGAGAACTACAAAAATAAATAATTACATGCATTCTTGATTGCAATGAAAATATTCAATATATTTGATCGAGTAAATAATTTATAATGATTTAAGAGATCAGGCTAAAGTTGGAGTATAAATATTGAGTTCTGCATCAAGATATCCTATCCACCACAATAACTTATCTGTTTATTATTAACTCAACAAATTAATTGGGAAGCTCTCAATGACACATACTCTTGCGGAGATTAAAAATGTGGGGAAACCCTATTGATAGAACTTTGTGTAATGAAATAGAAAACCATAAAACTCCTAAATGATTGCCACAAGTAATCATTAGAAATTAAAGGACTTTTCAACTATAGCCCTATAGGTATAAAACTTTTAAAAAATCTCAAATTTAGATTCTCTCTAAGGTTATGCTAGTTTCATTAGCAGACGGGCTATCTGAGAAGTTCGATATGATCTCAAAGTGAAAAAAAATTGCCAAACAAAACTTGGCATGGAATACCATGGCTTAATTTTCAGATGGAAGTTGGTATACCAACATTGGAAATGTTGCTACCAATTTTAGAAGTGGAAAACATCTGATCTACCTATTGCTAAAACTTTGTGAAACTATTCAAATAAAAAGCCATGTAACTGTAAAACTCCAGATGGTGTAGACAGTATATCGGTGCCACCTAAATTAGCATAAAAACAGCGCCTAGACACTACTAGGGGATAAAAAAAGCAGAGCAAGCAACTAAGCAAGTGACACCACCTGATCTTGCAAATCAGATTGAAGAATCCAGGTACCATTACCCCTAAATTTGATTTCATGATCGATCTATTCCGCATGGTAGATGACCACTGACCGAATTGATAATGAGTCAGTGGCAATTGTTTCGAATGCAATATGTAGGAGAACTTTCAGTTCGTTAGAGTATTAAATCATCCAAATTAAAGAAATAGGTACAATGGCATCTCAAGCCCCTATTAATGCACATAAGACAAAAGGGTGTGCAAAGAACTAAATACTCACAATATGGAATGTTTTGTATAAAATGTAACTTCTTATTTGCTGGAAAATTTTGTAAACTTTGTTCCGGAAGCCTGTAACCTGATTTTTATGGGTAAGCTATGAAATTTAGCCAGAAAAATAAAAAGGTATGGAAACCTCACCATCGCAATTGATCCCTGCTTATCACCTATTTGTTACCGCTGCTCTTAGGCTGATTTCATTCCAGCCCCAGAGATGAAATCAATATTAGACGAAGTTTCTCAATACCATTGGTGAGTGGCAATATGTGATTACCATTCTTAAAGAATCTATTGCCATACTTACTTTTTGAAAACTTAAAAAATTACATCCCTTAAGAAACATACCACATGCCTGCAATTTACGATTTCACTACATGTTTTAAATATTTAGAATTAAGCCGGTTCAATAGGAAGAGCCTCATTGAACTTAATCATTATTTACACATAATCTAATGGTCCTTAATAATCATTATTCCCAAGAAAAGAGCAATACCACTATTACTATATTATTAATAGTGATGATAATAACATCACAACAGGGACAAAAAGGATTTTATTTAAGTCTAGGAAAACATGCCTTTAAAACATTCTTCATAAAGGACACACCATAATAAATTTAAGATTGATTTCTGCTTCTACCCCTACCTTTCGATAGCTAATGTTACAACTATTAAAGCTTCCAGTAGCTTGCAATTTTTAAATCCTTTCAAGGCTAACATTGATATAACTAAAATTGACAACTTTTAATTCATTTCAATAGCAAAACTTAAACTTTACTTGCCTCCGATGACTATTATATTGCAGCAGACCCTTTATCACTATGACTGGGATATTATTTGTAGAGGGGTTCTATTAGGAATATTTCCCTCATCGGAACACGTACTGACCCAGATGGCCTGTAATCAAACTTTGACCTGAATAAATAAGCCTCATAACCTTGAATAAGCCGAGCGATACATGTCGAATTTGGTCTGTCCTGAGAAGCTAAGAAGTTATATGTAAAGATGTAAACCTATAACACATTATGTCAAGTTAAAAGTTGCAAAATTAAAATAATACCAATAATAATGTAATATTAGTAATAACATTCAAAGGTACCTAAAAAGTTTGGGAGGGGTATTCTGTGGACAAATATAAACATCAGTTGCAGCTTTTTCACTAATTAGAGCAATTCGTACAAAGATGACCCAAAATTCACCAAAACTTGACTCAACCTGTAAGTTTCCATCATCTAGTGACTGTAGGTACAGGTTTCAGGTAACATTTGGTGATTTACATTGGCTAAAAATCTAAAATATAAACTGTAATTCTGAAGGCGAAACTTATAGGTGAGTTAAATACTCCAAAAATAAAACCTAATTGATGAGGTAAAACCTAATTGATGAGGTAGAGATTGGTTAAAATAGACTTAATATACTGAGGATTTGCGATTTGAAAATTAAGGCCAATCTTGTTTGTATTCATGAATTCACGAATGAAAAGAGTATCTGGGAGGATTCCTACATACCCGTAACACGCGACAGAAACTTCATACACTCGCTAGAGTGTGGCTACAGGTCTACACCACGATGCCAGGCTAGAGAGAAAAAATCATGTATGTCGAAGGTTGGCGGCTAAACTTACACGATGGAGATAGACGGAGTTGTACTGTAGCGGATAACCGTGGAGGGATTCTGAAAGACCGTAAACAGGGGTAAGACGGCAAGCAAAGAGCAATTGGTACGAGTGCAAAGTGGAAAGCATAGTGTACAAGTGAATATAACTACATGTTACACCAACACATTTTTAATAACTAAAAGGCCCAAACCTTCATTCACCATTATAAGTTATTATAATTATTATTATTATTATTTTATTAAAGATACTATCCTCCGTTCTCTTTTAATCGCAACATTGGACTTTTTGCACTATTCACATATTCTACTTTGACTA